TAGAAGTGCGTGTGTGTATATATATATATATACATATGTATATGTACATCTCCATACATATATATATATATATAATATATATATATATATATATACACATACATACATACATACATACATACATGCGCAGCTTAGGGGTTCACATCTAGAGCTTCGTCAATCCTCTATAGCCCCGTTTAGTAAACATCTGTATGAGTGTCTGTGTTATACTCATGAAACGTACATATGCGCACGTACGTTTCTGTGCATGCATGTATTATCTATACATACATATGCATGAATGTATGTATACATATATGTACATAAATATATTAGTGTATATTCATGCACAAACACGCTACATCTCTTTCGCAAGAAAAACAGCATCCCAACTTCGCTCCAGGGCGCTCCGCCGCATGCTTGTGCCAACCCTTGGCTTTGAGAGCGTCCTCACCCATTGGCAGGTCCTGGGTGCTCTGGAGGGTGCTCTTTTTTTCGGGTTTAAGAATTAGGGTTTAGGTCTAAGCAAGGTTTAGGGGCATTTAATTAAGGGCCTCGGGTTTGCGTTTAGGGATCCAGCGTCTGGGGTTTAACTCGGATCTGGCGTTCTGGGTTCGAGTTAACAGTCTAGGATTCAGGGCTTAGGGGTTTATGGTTCAGGATAGAGAACCGAAGGTGCCCCTCCTTTCAAGACTTCAGTTCTTATCGTTGGACATATTATATCTTTAAAACTTATTAAGGTTGGCCTTATGTTTCCATGTATCTTACAAAGCAGCGTTGGGTGTTGCGGGGTTTGGGTCGCCGGGCTTTCCTTCGGGCTTGAGGGATTAGGCTCTGTTTTGGGATGGTTTAAGAATTCCGGCGTTTTGGGGCTGAGGGTGCAGCAAGTCTGGATTCAGGGTGTAGGAGTTTCAGGGTTTCTGGTCGTAGGTGCGTTTGTTGACCTTGGACGGCCCGTGAATCAAGCCAATGTCTCAACCGAAGCCCTTGTATAATTACATTACTAATACGATACTCTCATACTATTATAACTTTATACTCATACTATACTCTATACTTTAGAGACGGTCCCAATCCGAAAGCACATCCCGGTGGACATCGCAGAACTGTCATAGCCTGCGGACCTTATAGTCGATACGGCAAACATCTCGAAATCCCAGGAAGTCATCAACGTAGTGGTTTAGGGTTTAGGGTATATACATCCCAGACAATCATCAAAATAGTGCACTACGATATATTGCAGTATTTAATTTCTAAGACATTTACAGGCGGGTAGTTATAAGGTGGGTAGTTTCCCATAAGCCTCCCATACCACTCCTATAAGGTAAAGGGGGTCTTATGGGAGTACTATGGAAGAGGAACTACTTACCTGTAAGGGGCTTCTAAATTTGCTATGGTGCTAAGACGCCCCCAAACTCGGGAAGGCTTGGAACCAAGAGCCGCAAATTCCCGAAGAAGCCCTGCATCCAGGAGGGATATGTTGTACTAAATAAGCACCCCAACTGAGTAATGATGCGGTTGATGATATATATCCTGCATGACCCATAATAAGGAATATACAATAATTCCCACAGTGTAGTGCAGGATTTATGTCATCAACCGTGTTACTCATTGGTGTTCAGACCCCTGAAGTCTCTAAGTAACGCAGCCCTCCTGCCTAATGAAGCCTGGTCGCGGTGTACATGAGAAAAGTGCGCTCAAGGTGTTGGCCTGCATGCCGGCCGAGAATCACGACCACAAAGCCCATAAACTCTAGTGAGTCACAATACATTCGTACTTACGAGTAATTATTGCAACAACAGCGTTAATACCTGGCAACACCCATACCAGGCTAGCCTACCCCAAAAGGACTCAGAATCAGAGCACAACTTTTGGTGCCCTACCTGGACCCTCAGTGACCACCCTTTCTAGGGACTTGCATATGGAAAAACTTAAGAACGAATCCTAAAGACGTACTAGACCTGACAGTATCCTAGGAATAAAAAGGGTGCCCTTTTTGGTTTCAAGGGAGTTATAAGGGAACCTGAACCCTGAAAAAGGGAATAAGGGCTTATTCTGGGTCCTAGCGTAGGCTCTTTAAGGTCCAGGTATATAAACCCTAAAACGACGAAGCCTGGTCTCCTGTCGTTGTAGGACAATCCACATATGGGCATAATACTAGGGGCTTAGTTGAAACATGTTCTTGTGGTATATGGGACTTTCCGAAAATTAGGGCTACCTTTTTTGGGGGGTCCTTATAATCAGGATCTTACTATGTAGGGTACTACATCAGGGTCCCCTATTTTCGGAACCCCCATATTGCAGCAGAAATATACAAGGGCTAGAAGGGGATACTGCTACGAAATACTCAGGCCGGCCTCTGCATTACCTGCGTACTTGCACCGTTTGCAGGGAGTGAAGGACCATTTGCTCAGATTGACAACGCTGTTCCGTGCATACCTCGTCTCGCCAAAAGCGTGCTCAGCAGATTGGCAGACCTCTCCACAGTACCTGTGCCTGCAAGGGAAGATAAGTAAAACTCCATGGCCTTCATGGCACTTGTGTGGGAAGCATTCTGCCTTTCACCCTGCCAAGTGCGTAGCCATGCTCTTTGATGCGGACTTTGTGTATCAAATGGCACGTCAACCTGAACTCCAGTGCCGAGCCTGCTGCAGCAAGCCGGTAGTTTCGATTGTTTCAATTGCTGCGGCAGTACCTTCAACGCACCAACCGTTCCCTGATCACAAACACCGCAGGGCAGGTAGTCACATTAGCGACACCGTGCTAGATCAACTGTAATCCCAGACCCTTGCATGCTATGCTAAGTGGCCCTTAGCCCCCAGGGTGCAATTCAACACCATTTTACGCTCCTACGACCTTGACGATGAATCTGCTGGGCCCGAGGCTCAGCACGAGGGGCACGTGCCCCGGACCCTAAGCTATTAGGCCCGTTCACTCAGGCTGCAATTCACCAGTTCAAGACATCCTGACACCTGGAACCGAGGCAAAGTAGCGAAAGAAGGCATCGAAACTTCGACTCGGATCCCTTTCGGGTTTCACCGACCGAACCCGAAACCCTGAACCGAAAGCCCTGAATCCGTAAGACTCTAAAGCCCTGAAGCCCCAAATCCTAAAACCCTAAACAGCAAACTCTAGTCCGTAAACCCTAAGCCCCTAAACCCTAAACGCCCAAACCTTATAAACCCTAAGCCCTATACACATCGAAACCCTAAACCCTACAAAACCCTAAAATCCCTAAAAGCCTTAAAAACCATTTGAACCCTATGTGCCGTAAACCTGAAAAACCCTAAACCCTATAAACCCTGAACATCTTAAACCCCAAACCCTCAACCCGACGGCTGCCTCCGAAGTGGCCTCCGAAGCGGTCGTGGTCGTGGCCCAGCCGCAGGGAGCTGCCAAGCGAGGCAGCAGCTCCCGAGGCCAGAGTGGCACCTCAGGACTTTATGGTTAGGATTAGGATGAGGATTAGGAGTGGCACCTTAGGATTGGGTTTAGGATTTAGAAATTTAGGACTTAGGGTTTAGGATTTACGATTTACGGTTTAGGGTTCTAAGATTTAGGACTTAGGGTTTAGGATTTTAGGGTCCTTTAAGGGTTTCTTTGGGGTTTAGGATTAGGCTTAGGATTCGAAGTTTAGGGTCTTTTACCTTAGGATCGGGTTTAGGATTTAGGACTTACGGTTTAGGACTTAAGGTCTACGATTTAAGGTTTAGGGATTTAAGATCTAGGGATTTAGGACTTAGAACAGACTGGCACCTGAGGATTTCAAAGTCCTTTAAGGGTTCCTTTAGGGTCTTATGGTTTTGAGCTGGATTTAGGAATTAGGCACCGTAGGAGTGGATTTACGATTTAGGTATTTGGGGTTTGGGGTTTAAGGTTTACGATTTTAGGTTTAGGGATTTAAGATTTAGGGATTTAAGACTTAGGGTTTCTTGGGCTTTTAGGGCCCTTTAAGGGTGCTTTGAGGGTTTAGGATTAGGATTAGGACTCACAGTTTAGGGTCCTATGGTTTTAGGATTGGATTTAGGAACTAGGACTTAGAGTTTAGGGCTTTTAAGGCTTTGGGGTTTAGTCGTACATAGTAGGGGTTTAGGGATTAGGATTTGAAGGGTTTCAGGGTTTGGGGCCTTGAAGGGTTTCAGGGTTTGGAGCCTATTGGGCTTTAGGGTGCTTGGGGGCTATTTGGGGTTTTAGTGTTATATGGCTTTAGGGTTTGCTTTAGGGCTTAGGGTTTTAGGGGTTTAGGGTTTCAAGGTTTGGGGCGTTAGGGCTTTACGGTTTCAAGGTTTCAGGGCTCTAGGGTTTGAGGGTTTAGGGCTGTAGAGTTTCACTTTTCGAGACATAGGCCATAGAGCTTACACTGGTCAGATTGAAGCAAAAGGGTCCACATAAAAATCTACTGATTCAGCTGCTAAGCCACCAACCACGTAGGCGAGCATTGCTTGAAACTGAAATTGAAAACAGAACAAGGCCAGAAGGACTTCACCGAGCACCCAAGCGATGCAAGGATGTAATAATCAGAGCCTGAAAGGAGCCACGGCGGAGCGGCAGACAGAATGTGGATTGATGAAGCATGTGCCGACATGATCCAGCTAGACGCATGCTGTGAATGGGCGCCATCTTCTTGGGGGGGGGCTGTAGACTATGAATGTATTCGGTCGGGAACCCTAGCGCGAAGTGATACTACCCATGATTGGGCCTGTATATTGACCGGCTTCTGGCCAAAGGCAACTGCATCGCAGAAATACGAATCAGTTCTTAAGCAGATTTGAAATCTCGGGCCGCCAAACCCTAAACCGAAAATCCTAAAAGCCCTCAAAAGTTAAGCAGTATCTCAAGACTGAGGGCTCAGACTCTCCCAGGCCTTTAAAAGTGTGCAGTTCCTACCCCCTGTAAAGCGGACAACGCGGTGTACTTTAGCCAAAAACGGCCCCAAAACATCCGAATCCCAATTCGGCGAAACCCTAAAGCCCCGAACCCTGAAATGCTCGGCCCAGTTCCTTTCTTTCCCTCCTACATGCCTCGATGTCCATCGCATCGGAAAGGAATGCGTCCGTTAGCACCTGAAGGATTTGGGCAGGTTTGGGTTACCTGAAAACTGATTGGCACATTGGTTACATTCTTAGGAGCATATTACTGTATGTTCCTATGGGTCTATCATGGTATATTCTTATGGTCTATCATAGCATATGCTTATGGGTGAATCATGGTATATTCTGGGTATATCATGGTGCAAATCAAAGGGCCTGGGGCTTCAGGGGTTCAAGATGGAACTCGAAGCTCCTACGTCTCCATGGTTCCTTTTCCGGGTACCTTCTGGGATCCTGAATGTAAACTAGGATACCCAGTAACCTAAGAATAAAAAGGCCTCTCTTTTTGGTATTGGGTAACTTTTTTAGGGAACCTAGGACTACAAAAAGGGAATAAGGGTACTACTGGGCATCCTAGTAAAACTGGTGAGACCAGAAAAGGAGCTGCAAGGGAGACTAAGGTAGCTAGGCAGTGCTCAGGGAAATCTTGCACAGAAGTAGACATCAATTCGCATCCACGGAGTCTTAGGGTTAGGGCTTCAGGCTCGAAGATTACGCCTTCAAGGTTTTGGAATTAGAGGGTTTCTCGTTGCAGCGACGTTCGCCTATGGTGCTTCCTTTTGACTGGTACTCAAACACGGCCATTTCAACACACGAACAAAAAATGCATTGCAATTTGCAACAAACAAACACACAATCCCATTGGTGGTATAGGAACCAGGATGACGAACAATAGCTAGGAGCAAGGACCCCAAACTTTCAAAACCCTAAACCTGTTTCTTCGTTGTGTTGCCAACTTGCTCGTATCCGCAAACTCAGTTCTCCCACAGCAACACAGAACTTTCGAAGGGGTTCATCTAGTCCAATCATATAATAAACTCCCTTAGCACGGAGCCTCCAAAAACCAGAAACGCGCAGCCCTACAACAACAAAATGGGAGTTTCCGAAAATCAGGGACCCTAACATAGTACCCTAAACAGTAGGATCTGTATTAAAAAACACAAAATAGGGTACCTAATAAACTTTTGGAGCCCATCCTCCGACCCTGGGGCCCAAAACGGGAGGTTCCGAAAATTAGGGGGTACCTTATTTTGGGGTCCCTATAAAAGGATCCTACTATTTAGGGTGCTATATTAGGGTCCCCTATTTGGTACACCAGCCGTAAAGCCTAAATACCACAATAACCTCTGTCTCTGCCACGCCTCTGCCTGCTTTTTCAAGCCGCAGCTGAGACCTCGGGCACAGGCACGGGTAGTGCTTGGGTTCTACCTTCGATTGCCGGACATAGCCCAAACTACTGTTCTTGCTATTGTGTTTAACGTGATGGTTTTCGTAATTGGTCTTATTACCTCAAGCGTGCTGTGCTGCGAGTCTTCTAATAACCACTGCAAAACCTCGTACCTTACCTTGGCTCACTGGTAATCATATTCCAACTTTCTGGCTTTTACTTTAAACCCCAACCCCTAAACCCTCAGCCTTAAACCCCTTAATGAAGGAATATACCTTAAATAGATAAATAGGTAGATAGGTGGGTAGGTAAGTCAACAGATCGGGTAACGGCCATGAGCCCCTTGAGGCTCCTTCGGTTCCTTGACATTTCACAGACCTTCGCGTGAGATACCTCATGGCTTCGTCGCGCGGTTCTTGGGCTGATGTTGAAAAGTATGGATTACTACTGTTGATGGACAAAATCCTGCATTACCCATTGTAAGGAACATACCATAGTTCCCATAGTTTAATTAGAGTCTTTAGGGTCATGCAGGATTTTGTCCATCAGCAGTAGTGTGGACCTTAACGTAGCAGTTCGAACAGGTCGTTCTTGTAGTATCACATATACAGATATGTTGAGAGAGTATCGCGGGATGTTGTTGCTGACGATCATCCGAGCACCCGCATGTTCCGGCATTTCTGTGGCTTTTGGTTTAGGGTTGTGATCTAGGTGGTCAAATGATAAAGGCTTTCCATTTGGATCTTACTGCGTCAAAAGACTCTCACAGGTGCAGGGGTGTATACATCTTGTGCTACACATACTGATCCAAGGCTGGACGAGGAGATGATGTTGGCTCCTCAACATAGATTTTGCTCCCAAGTTCAGTTCCTGCTTCGGGTCCCCGTTTGAATTACCGTCCCTAGTGTATTCAGTAACATCAAGATACCCCCCCCCCCCCTCCCTCCCCACAATACACAAAGCCATAAACCTCAAATCCGAGGCACTGAACCTCCGCGAACCATAAACCCTATAGACCCAAGCGCCTATAACCTAAACCTTATTTATGACACCTTGCAAACCCTACTCACCAAAATACACCTATATCCTTACACTCAGCCCCTGTATAAAGCCCAACCCGGAGCTCTCTGTCGAGCAGCCATGCTTCCCAGCGCCGGCGTTCTCAGTGGCAATCCCTGGCAAAAGAGAACGCTGCAAAGGACGGTTAAGAGTTTATAATTATAGGGTGTAGGGCACTGGACATGTGGGTGAAGTTGGGCAATATATTGCATGGGCCTCTCGGGAAGGACCGCGGACATACACTTCAGAGACCCGGCGCTCTAAATAGTTACCACTGCTATCTTGGTGGTTCCTTATTATACGCATAGTATAATCGGCCCCCAAAAGATAAGGCCCCCATAATAAACATCGGGATGATACGACTCGGGTTTAGGCCAGATTAAACTGCCGGGACCTAAGTGGACCTCACTACAAGTCTTACAACCGAACTTGTCGAGACCCTAATGATCCCTACTGACCGAATGAGGCTATGCTCGCTTCAAGCAAGGCTTACCGAAACGGTCGACAAACCTCAGCCAGCCTTGACTCCTGCACCCTCAGAGCCTAAATCCTGAACTCCGTGAGCCCTTAAGCCTAAACCCTAAACTCCCTAAGCCCTAAATTCATTGAGGCCTAAAGCCTAAACCCTAAACTCCCTCAACCCTCAACCCTAAACCCTAACCCCTAAACTCCCTAAACCCTAAACTCCCTAAGCCCTAGACCCTGACGGCTCAGGCTCGGGCGACACAGGTCATTCAAGTGAGCTGAGCCTCATCCGGGTTTGTGCTTGTAGGGGCTTGCGGAGTTCTCGGCCCCCCAAGACGGTTTAGGGTTTACTTGAAGGATCATGGGACTTAGTAACTGGGGATATAAGTAAGGTAACTATACTTATAACCCCAGTTAAGGTACTTATAACCTTACTTACTAAGTCCCATGATCCTCCAAGTAGGAGCGCATGCCCCCCCGAGAAAAAGCTCACAGTTTCATTGTGGTAGACGACAATCAACTCCAGCCACTAGCCTTAAAAGCCCCGTTTTGCTCGGTATTCAGGGCTGAGAGCTTGGACCTTCGAGCAGTAGAGTCAATGGAGCTTAGGCTGCTGAGACTTTCTAGACTGTAGACCCTAAACTCGCTCTAAACCCTAAATAGACTCTAAACCCTAAATCTTAAGCCCTATCCCTCGACCTCAGCCCTTGCCTTACCTTTCATCCGAAATTCGAAAAAAGCGTGTTGTGCCGGGCCTCAAACTCCAAAATCTGCACACCAACCTTCCGAAGTCCTGAAGCCCATCCGAACCGTGAGCCAGGCAAATGTTAATAGTATTCTTTATATTTGATTGACTATTAATACAACTAGAGTGGTCCATCCTTAGGCCAACATGAGTTAAGGTTTCGGGCCTACGGTTTGGAGTTTGAACCCTCAGGTGCTGAAGCTCAGACCCCCTGCAACCCTGTCGTCGCCTTTGCTTAAAAACCCAGCAATCAGAATGAAACCCATTTTAAGCCCCCCCCCCCCCCCCCACCCTCTTCAAAAGAAAACAAGAGCACCAGGCCTTTCGCACAAGATCGAACTCGGTCGTTCACGCACAGCGATGCCCGCGAGCCCAGTGTCACGACCTGAATTTAGAGCTTGTAGGCTTTAAGGTTACCTAGAACGGGGTACTTATGCACATGCATGTGAAAGCATCGGGAAGAAGGGAAGAACGACCGATACCAAGACGACGAGGTTGCTTCTGTGTGATCTCTACGGAACGCGCATGGCGCGTTCTGTCTTCTGGAGTCCTTTTTATGCTATGTTGAGAAAGCGTAAGCACGCAATGCCACTACTGCGAACACGGCGCATTTTGGTGGGGGGGCTTGATTACACTGCTTACTGAGGACTTGTCCTGCATGCTACGGAAAGTGCTTGAAATGCTGCTATTTGCAGGTGCAACTGAACCCGCTAGCCTAGCTTCTGTCCTGGGTATCTTGACAGGAATGCGGCTTTGGAATTGCCGTGCTTCGGATAGGCTTTGCCATTGAAAATACCACTTTGCCATACGTCATTGCTAACCAGCATGGCAACTAATTAAGCCTCTTTTGAATCAAAATTTCATTCTCACCTATCACTCGCACTCTTACTACTCAGTTGTCGAGCTTACGCGGCACTCTTGCAGTTTATGGCCCTTGAAAGCTTGATCCACGTTTAGGCCGGAGGTTTGCGATGCTGCCGTTCCGCCAGATCAGGACGTTTTACCCACTATAAGCTCGCCCGTACGGCACCCTCCCAAAGACTCATACATTGCATACTTGCTCATTACTCATTTGAAACTCCCAATGCCTTCTTGAGTATGGCGCCGGGTGGCTCCAAGGAGGTAGAGAGCGCACTTTGAAACAAGGTACGTACCTACCTACCCACCTACCTACCTGCTGTACCTCCATGCATGCATGCGTAGAAACATGTGTATATGCATGCATGCATACACACATAAATACATACGTACATACATACAGACAGACATACATGCACATACACATTCATGCATGCATGCATACATTCATATATCCATGCATAACTACATGCATACATACATGCATGCATACATGCATACATACATACGTACATACATGCATACTGTACGTTACATGCATGCATGCATGCGTACATACATATTACATTCATTACATGTTCACACATTACATTACATTGCATATGTATTTCCTTACTTCTTTATGTATTTACTCACTTGTTTACGACTTGTCCTTACTGACACGTACATGTACGCACATACTTCTGTGTGTGCATGCGTACGTACGTGCTTACATGCATGCGTACATGCATGCATGCATACATGCATTGATGCATGGAGGCATGCCTGCATGCATACATATGTACGTATGTACAGTACGTACATATACGTATACGCATATATAAGCATTCACGTAGACACGCGCAGACACATACACACTTACATGGACACAGACACAAACACAGTCAGAGGACATTGACATATAGACATACACGCACAAAAGAAACAAGACGAGCTCGCACATGCACATTCACATACTCACAAACAGGTGCATGTCAGTGCATATTCAAATCTTACGTTACATATGCAGGCACATGTAACATGCACATCTGCATACATATCTACATTAACCGAGGTCCCTGCAGAAAGATCTTCGGGGACGGCATGCTCCGGAATTCGCTTGATCTCTCTCAAGACTTGTGCCTTGGTGTGCTTGAGGGGTGCACTGTATCTGTTACATCCAGCTTGGGGCAAACTATTTTACTGCAGCATTATCGCCGCCCGGTCATGACACAAACCAATGGTTTAAGGGTCCTTCCGATGCATTCTGCAGAGCATGCTGCTGCCGGCCGGGTGAGCTGCTGCCGGCCGGGTGAATACGGGATACTGTCTGCTGCAATGGGCAAGGCCACAAGGGCACTAGAGTTTGCATGATTATAGGGTGTTTCAATGACCCCTCTGAAGGCGGAATGAGCAACAAAGTAACATCTGCTTCGTGAAGGATGAGTTGCTGCCCTGCTGGGGTCAAGATTGTGAACAAAGACAGAGCAGTCAGGGGTTTAGGGTGCTTAGGGTTTAGGATTTAGGGAGACCGAGCAAAGGTTACAATCTCCAAGGTTCTTTCCTGAAGCCCGAAAGCATGATGCCCTGGACGATATCTCGCCCTGCGTGCTCCCCCGAAGCACGACGAAACCGAGTCGCGGGCAAGCTGAGAATGAGTCCGGCTGCAGAAGATGATTTGAAGCTTGTTCTTGTAAGCCTTCCGTACGGAGCTTTTGGGTTCGATAAGACTATAGGGAAGCGAGCAATCCAGCTTACGTCTTGGACACTCTAAACCACTATGCTTCGCAGATCCTCAGCTATACGAAAGGACGCGGGACATGGACTTTCTACTTGCTGGTGGTTGCGTCTCAGCTTTTCTCGCTTCTTGTGTTTGTGTGTGTGTGTGTTGCGGAATATCACTTGTCTTGTGTCGAGGGAGCTGTGGGCTCCGGGCTCCAAGTCCGGGTTTCCGGGCAGGATTCGGAAAAGTGGCAGTACGTCGTTATGTTTGCTAAGACTAGCCCAGAACCCTAAACCAGGCCCTGAATTAAAGAAAACACTGAACCTAAACCTGTGGATTCTTCAATTCTTCCCTAAGCCCTGAACCTGAACCCCAAAGCCGAGAGTCACAACGTTTCTCTACAGTGTCATTTACAGGACAACACCATCTTCTTGTGCGGCTTCGCCTCCTGACGGCTGCTGTCTGATGTTGCCAAAGGCCTTGCAGGGAATTGCAAGACATGAGGTTGGAGAGACTTGAAGCACTTGGGTGTAGGGCTTATAGTTGAGGGCGCTTGGACTTGGGGTTGAGGGCTGATGACGGCTGATGGTGCTTGAGCATGGATCTTAGGGGTTAGGGTTGAGGTTTCGTTCTGATGTGCACATGATGCAGACATTCAGAGTTTACTTACTTCGCATCCGGGGCTTGTGCCACCCGAAATGTCTGAAGCGACTTTCCCTTTTACGCCATGCGTGCTGCAGGTACCTCAACCTCATATTTGACGTGTTCGTAAAGACTCCACATCACTAATACAGCAGCAGCGAACGGCATGATGCGAACAAGGAAAGCTGCTTCGAGTGACGATCGGGACTCCGGTGCACCTGTTGAGTCCATGTCTGTTGCGGCAATCTCTGCTATTGCCCCCACCATTCGAAGTTGGGCTACCGCAAGGCAGTGGTTTAGGCTTTAGGGGCTTCCCCTAGGCCCCATAGTAGTTCCTTTTTGGGGTTCATACTTAGGACTCTCTTAGGTAATCCCAAAAAGGAACTACTATGGGGCCTCTGGGTAGTTTATTCAACAAGAAGCAGAGCACACCCACTCATGGGCTAAAGACTGCTTGACCGGAGGTCGGGTAGCTCGTTGTCTGTACCGAAGATGAGGGCATCTCAGTTCCCTGACAGAATTGGAGCTTCAGAGGAGGACGAAGTGACGATTTACCTCCCCGTTCTAGCAAGACTGCTTTCTTTGAGGCTTCGCGAACAAAAGTGCGTTGCTCTGCCAAGATAATCGAATCCTCTTTTGTCTCTCCCATCTTCTGTATCTCTCTGTCACACTCGCTCGCTCCGTCTGTGTCGCTGTCTCTGTCTCTGTCTCTGCCTCTCTCTCGCACTCTCTTGCTTCCTCTCTGTCTCTCTCTGTCTCTTCCTCCCTCTCTCTCTCTCTCTATATATATATATATATCTGTCTACCTATCTAACTCTCTCTCTCTCTGTCCTCTCTCTCTGTCTCTCTCTATCTATATATATATATATATATCTCTCTCTCTCTCTCTCTCTCTCTATCGATCTCTGTATCTCTCTCTCTCTCTCTATCTCTCTCTCTCTCTCTCTCTCCCTCTCTTCCTGTCTCTGTATCTTTATATATATATATATATGTATATATATGGGTACCCCCCTATATGGGGTCCCCTGGTTTTTGCACACCTAAACCATTAAACCATTAAACCATTAAACCAATCCTTTCCCCCAATGGACCCAAACCAATAAACCATTAAACCATTAAACCAATCCCTTCCCCCAATGGACCCAAACCAATAAACCATTAAACCATTAAACCAATCCTTTTGCCCCATACCACTAAACCATTAATCCATTAAACCATTAAACCATTAAACCATTAAACCAATCATTTCCTCTATAGAAAGAGACACATCCCTGTATGGGCCGAAAGCATTGGTTTAATGGTTTAATGGTTTAATGGTTTAATGGTTTAGTGGTTTAGGGGCATTGGGGGAAAGGATTGGTTTAATGGTTTAATGGTTTAGTGGTTTAGTGGTATGGGGTAAAGGATTGGTTTAATGGTTTAATGGTTTAGTGGTTTAGTGGTATGGGGTAAAGGATTGGTTTAATGGTTTAATGGCTTAGTGGTATGGGGCAAAAGGATCGGTTTAATGGTTTAATGGTTTACTGGTATGGGTCCATTGGGGGAAAGGATTGGTTTAACGGTGTACTAATTTAATGGTTTGTTGATGGTTTAATGGTTTAGTGATGGGTCTAGGGCTGTCTACTACGCAGGTGTCCTGGTTATAACCGGGGACAGAGGTTATAACCAGGCCTGTGCCACCGCTACTTCATCAACACCTAAATCCAAACGTTCGAAAGTTTCGGTGTTTCATTGAATGTAACCGCAATGAAATTAAACAAGGACTAGAAGAATAGAGGGTCCGAGGTAATTGGCATGTATTCGGTTGCTGAGGCATGATGCAGTGCTCTGTAACAAACATAATTCCGGGGACCATGTGCGCATTCCCCAACTTTAGCGGAAAGGCTATATGGCGGACTTTACATAATGGTCTGTCCGTTCCAGTACATTGGGTTTATGAGATCAGTGTACACATTGAGAGAATAGCCGCTAACATGTCACTCACCCAGGAATCAAAATGCGCAATATGAAGGGGCTCTATCGGGATTAAAGTAGGTCAGTAAGTGTTGTCAACATTGGAATATCACGTGACACAGAAAGTTGAGATACGACTGATACGACGTCATTGTAGGGGAGAGACAGTATTTCAAAGTTTACAGCGTGGTCAGGTTTCATCACTTCGTACATAGGCAAACTGGTTGCAACGTTATGTTCAAACATCGTTCCAAGGAAGCCGGATTTCGACGAGACAAAACTGATCAGAATATGTGTGGTGAGCGAAACAAAATTTGCAACTTGCAAATTGTTAGGTTTCCTCGCTCAGTACGTAGAAAATTCCTAGCACTGCTATTTCCAACTACATGGATGAACCTCTTTCGAGGAGTGATTCGGTGTGTGGTTACCACTTTTTCTAACACGAGGATCACGTTCTGGACTGGGAACAATGGCTTCTATTCGACCTTCAGTGAATATTCACAAGAACACAAACAGAAATTCGGACAAGCTAGATGTAGCCTTATGGTTTTCAGTCGGCTTTACGTGATGGTTAAAAGATGCTGATACAAAAAAACACAGGCTTCATCACTCAGCATATAGAGACAGTGCGCGTCCTAAGAAGCGACGCTTCATGTCGTCCCCCCAGGAAAAACACTATACAACGTTTGCTAGGCTTGTAGTATGCAAGTTTTCAATTTGGGCTTGGGGCAGCCGTCATACAGAATTAAGGAATGCACCACTCAAATACACCTACCGGATATACCAGTGTTTAAAAGCAATCACATAGGGGCACAGGGATATGTCATTGAAAGCTATCAGTTTGCCAAAACGTCATAGCAATGCGTCCAACAACAGAGACTTTGGTGGGATTGCGGCATTTCAGTACAAAGATGGAGAACTTTTCGTTCCAAAATCTAGTTCGCGATAAGGAATGATTGAAGCAGACTCATGACTACAGCGCGCTTGTTGGAAAAAACTGAAACACAGCGGTTTAGATACAGTCACACAAAGATGAACTACGAAGATATATCGACGGCTTCAAGGCAAGGATTTTAGCACATTGTAACAGGGTTTCGACGAGGGTGTCATAGAATTCTTAGCGTTGTGCGGGTTTCAGCATTCTGAAAGCATGGGTTGTTGCAACTTCCCGGGTTAGTCTTCAAACCGGATATAACACTGTAGTCGATGACGTACACCTGATTATAACCTAGTCGGCTGGTTATAACCTAGTCTGGTGGTTATAACCGAGTCAGTTGGTATAGCGAAAAACGTAGGGGACCCCAAATAGGGGTGCGCCCATATATATATATATATATATATATATATATATATGGGTACCCCCCTATATGGGGTCCCCTGGGTTTTTGCACACCTAAACTATTAAACCATTAAACCAATCCTTTCCCCCAATGGACCCAAACCAATAAACCATTAAACCAATCCTTTCCCCCAATGGACCCAGACCAATAAGCCATTAAACCATTAAACCAATCCTTTCCCCCAGTGGACCCAAACCAATAAACCATTAAACCAATCCTTTCCCCCAAAGGACCCAAACCAATAAACCATTAAACCATTAAACCAATCCTTTCCCCCAATGGACCCAAACCAATAAACCATTAAACCAATCCTTTTGCCCCATACCACTAAACCATTAAACCATTAAACCAATCATTTGCCCCTATAGAGAGAGACACAACCCTGTATGGGCCGCAAGCATTGGTTTAATGGTTTAGTGGTTTAGGTGCATTGGGGGAAAGGATTGGTTTAATGGTTTAATGGTTTAGTGGTTTAGTGGTATGGGGTAAGGGGATTGGTTTAATGGTTTAATGGTTTAGTGGATGGGGCAAAAGGATTGGTTTAATGGTTTAATGGTTTATTGGTTTGGGTCCATTGGGGCAAAGGATTTGTTTAACGGTGTACTAATTTAACGGTTTGTTAATGGTTTAATGGTTTAGTGATGGGTCTAGGACTGCCTACTACGCAGGTGTCCTGGTTATAACCGGGGACAGAGGTTATAACCAGGCCTGTGCCACCGCTACAGTACTTCATCAACACCTAAATCCAAACGTTCGAAAGTTTCGGTGTTCCAGGGTGAATGTAACCGCAATGAAATTACACAAGGACTAGAAGAATAGAGGGTCCGAGGTAATTGGCGTGTATTCGGTTGTTGAGGCATGATGCAGTGCTTTATAACAAACATAATTCCGGGGACCATATGCGCATTCCCCAACTTTAGCGGAAAGGCTATATGGCGACTTTACAGAATGGTCTGTCCGTTCCAGTACATCGGGTTTATGAGATCTATGTACACATTGAGAGAATAGCCGCTAACATGTCACTCACGCAGGAATCAAAATGCGGAATATGAAGGGGCTCTATCGGGATTACAGTAGGTCAGTAAGTGTTGTCAACATTGGAATATCACGGTACATAGAAAGTTGAGATACGGCTGATACGACGTCATTGTAGGGAGAGACAGCATTTCATTTTTTACAGCGTGGTCAGGTTTCATCACTTCGTACATAGGCGAACTGGTTGCAACGTTTTGTTCAAACATCGTTCCAAGGAAGCCGGATTTCGACGAGACAAAACTGAGAAGAATATGCATGGTGAGCGAAACAAAATTCGCGACTTAAACTGTTAGGTGGAAAACTTTTCGTTGCAAAATCTAGTTCGCGATAAGGAATGACTGAACCAGACTAATGACTACAGCGCGCTTGTTGGAAAAAACTGAAATACAGCGGTTTAGATACAGTCACACAAACATGAACTACGAAGATATATCGACGGCTTCAAAGCAAGGATTTTAGCACATTGCAACAGGGTTTCGACGAAGGTGTCATAGAATCTTAGCGTTGTGCGGGTTTCAGCATCCTGAAAACATGGTCTTCAAACCGGATATAATACTGTAGTCGATGACGTACACCTGATTATAACCTAGTCGGCTGGTTATAACCTAGTCTGGTGGTTATAACCGAGTCAGATGCCGAGTCAGATGGTATAGCGAAAAACGTAGGGGACCCCAAATAGGGGTGCGCCCTTATATATATATATATATATATATATATCTCTCTCTCTCTCTCTCTTTATCTCTCCCTCTCTCTCTGGCTATTGCTCTCTATCTCTCACACACTCACTCTCTCTCTCTCTCTCCCCACACTTCGCCTAATCAGGCCAAGAAAGTGTACATGTGCATGTATACAGAAAATGGGATACAGATGAGTGGTTGTCAGAATTAGGGTCCCTTTTTGGGTCCCTATTATAATACGGCACCTGTTATTGAGGGTACCCGAAAGAGGTACCCAGATATCTTCGAATCCTCCGCGTCCCCAAAAGCGGACCTTGTTGTTGGAAGCTCTGGCTGAGGCAGCAGCAAAGGCGCCTCTGCCAAGAATTGGTGCTGCGGTTCAGGGTTAATTGGTGTTTTCGGTGGCAGGCATTATCATCTGACACATTTTTAGATGCTCAGACTCAAATTCCGAGTACTGTAGCGAATCTTTAAGGTTGCGTAGGTTTCGAGCACTCTAGATGTCAGCGAGTGAAACAACACAGTTTAGTAAGGGATGTATTGTACACTGTACATGATACTCAGGATCTCTTCGTGCGGTTTATTTGATTCCAGGGTTTGGAGATTCTGGACTTGTTTTCCGACTTCATCCGGGGTTTGGGGTTGCGGGTCTGTGGGCCCCTTTCCGCTCTCTCTGGCCCTCGGTGAGTGTATCGTTTCTGGGTGCGTTTGGCTGCTGTGTGGATCGCTAGCATGCCCCTTCCGTCACATGCTTCCCCACACAGCCGAGACTCTCCCAAGCCAACTCTAAAGACAGGACTGGGTTTTGGGGTGCAGGGCTTTCGATTTGGGGTTGGAGGCTTGAGCTGATAGGATTTATGGCCTGGGGGTTCGGGGTTACGGCCCGGGTGCCTCCAAAGATAGCTCCGAGTCAAAGGCAGCATCAAGAAGCTGCCTGGTGAACCCAGGAAGGCTTTCGGGTAAAGCTTAGAGTCTAGTGTTTCAGGGAACCCTTGGGTGCTGTAGCTGAAACCATTGTTTCGGTGCTCGGCAGCATGAACTCCGGTGCTGATTGCCACTAAATGGGTGTCTGTAAACTCTAGCCACGTGGAACTGCAGGGGCCACTCAATCGACTTAACGAAGCTTCTGTCCACGCGTCTTCAGGCGTGTTCGTACCGGTGTGTGCTGGATGAGGAAGGTCTAGGTCCGAGAGTCGTCTAGGGGTTGGATTGGAGTAAGCTGTAAGCTCGAAGGCAGAACCGTTTCTGTCGCATTGACAGAATCTCCGAGTTCTGAATCAAACGTAAAAGCTACGATGGGCTTTAGGATGTTCTTGGCATGCTCACAGAATGTTTAGTGTCATAACTCCTAAGTAGTGTCGGATGCTTGGTTTTCTGCTCGAATCGATGTCGGCACTGGTTGAGGTGGTTGAGGTTCTTTCAAGCAGGGTATTTTATACAAGGGTCCTTAACGCCTGGGTTTAGTTCACATTATGGTCCCTGACGCTGTGAAAGAAGATTTCATAGCACAGGTATGAAGCCTAAGGCCATGTGGACAAGGGCTGCATGGAAACACCCGGAGATGCGAATCGTTGCTTCTTGATGTGAGGACCTGGAGAAACAGCATTGGTACGCAATACTAGTACTATTGCAAGATGGCTCTACACAGCCATGTTGTAAACTGGGGACTTGGATCACCAAGCACTCATACTGCATTCTGCAGCCTCCGGCAGAACAATGCAACTTATAGAGGGCTGAGTAGCTACCCATCCCATTGTTCCACGCTAGAACTGGCTACCCTGCCCTCTGCTACAATCTTGGAACAGGCTACATTTGCCTGTGTGCAGGGGAGGAACCTGTAACGATTCTTTCAAGCTTGGAACTGATTCACTTCCCATAGTGCGTGTCGTTCTTGGCTTGGAACAACGTACGTAGTGTTATGTACAGTCCCCCCAAAACATGTAAAAACAAAAATGTATTTATATACATATATATGTATAAACAAATATGAACTAAAAATACAAATGAATAAAAACTTAACATATATACATATATAGACATATTTGAGGTAGACAGACGATACCCCCGAACCCTTTTCCACTAAGCCAGGCCCCCATATCATCGGCCGGTTAGCAGCTTGCGCGGGGTTCAGGGAAGGAGGACACTAAACACCAACAGTTTGAGACCCCAACCCCAAAGCAAAACAAGCCGAGGCACTAAGCCTCAAGTCCTGGGATACACCCCTGAACCACCTCATTTATTGCAGCAGAACCCCTTGTTTTCTTGACCCGATGCGCAGTAAGATTCAATCTTTCCTATGCCCCTGCAACCCTCAAGCCAAACCCTACAGTCCTAACCCTAAACCCCGAAACATAGACCCCGAACCCTACTGAAGCCCAACGGATTCGGACCACAGTGCGATAAGCCATAAACTTGCCCGCCCCCCCGCCTAAGACGTACTTCCTGGACTTTACCGTCCGTGTCTGTCTGCCATACTTCCGGTTTGAATTATTCTGATTACCTTTGTCTTTATTATTGCTTTACTACTACCTCTACTGCTACTCCTACTCCTCCTCCTATTTCTGCTTCTGCTACTGCTCCTGCGACGACTACTGCTTCTACTACCACTATTACGACTAACTATCATTAGCATTATTACTTTTCCTCAGCTCCGTGCGGTTGGGCATGCAAAGGCGCGGCGAGCCTGGTCCGAGAAAGTTGGTCAAGTAGTGCTCTAGGGTTTAGAGTTTTAGAGTTGAGTTGAGCGTTTAGGGCTTAGAGTTTTAGGGTCCAGGGTTTAGGTTTGAGAGATTTAGGGTTTAAAGCGGTTTAAGTTTTCTGTGGTTCAGCGTTGGGTTCAGGATTTTCGGCATTAAAGGCTTTGGAGTTCCCTGGCACTGGAAAGAGAAGTGCTCGTACAGGGCTTCAAATGTACTCCAAGGATCTTGCCTCCCGCACCTTCAGGGTCCATGTATCTACTGCTTGGAGGTTCATAAAGAGTCTATAGTTATTATAGCCTGTATTCCGGGACTTGTAAACCCTACTTATTGGGGCTTTTTCGCCCCGAGAACAATTGGTCCTGCTCGCCACAGCCGCAAAGAACATACCAAATCTGTTGCGACGATACAGCTCAGTCTGCAAGGCGTGAATCCCAAGCAAGGTTGCAGCCTCCTATGTCTGAAACTGTGTTTTAAATAGGGAACCCCCAAAAGATTGCTGGTAATTGGTGTTTTTCTTTGTGCTCCTATAACAAGCTACTGTGTCTCTTAAAGCCCTCGTTAACGACTAACGCCCTAAACTCTAAACTCCAAAGTCTAAAACACTGAACCTGCACACATCCAAAAGTTGCTAACTTCCCTAGACCCTAAGCACAAAACCTTGCTCGATTCCAATAGAGCAAGAAAATCAGAGGCCCTGCGTCCTTGCTACAGACTTCTGAAAGTCAAAGACTCCCAACTAATGAATGTGTATATATAAACACACATGCATAGAACCATACATATTCATATGCCTATACACATACATATACATGTACATTTACGTATACAGATACATACGTATATACATATACATATACACATACACATACGCATGCACATACATATGCAGATGTACGGATGTACAATAAACAGATACGGATGTACAATAAACAGAATACTTATACATATACATACACATATACACACATGTATCAAGAGTGAACTAAACTCACAGTCATGAGCCGGATCGTACACACAGACAGAGCCATGATGATAAATCTTTTTCATTGTCACATTCGTGACCATAGTAATTGCAGCCACGATCATACCCACATGCTTCGATCGTCATATAAGGCAAACTCGTCATACTAGTCATAATCGTCCGAAGGGTCATCATCGTCATACGATCTAGTGACCATAATACTCTTGATAATCATATGTTAACCAAAACAGTGATACCAATGCACATTGTGCCACAGAAACAACGGTATGATTACGTAATACTCACAATCGTAGTTACAGTCGTAATCATGCTCACAAACACAATCGAGATTGCTCTCGAAGCCATAGATGCAATCTGTATCATAGTCACCTTCATTAGCATACTCATGGCAATGAAACTGCACTGAATGTTAAGAGTCATAGAAATGTTGTCTAATCACCAGTAGTATCATAATAAAACAGTAATCCTAAACAGCCGAACATGGATTCCAAGGGCTCCTATATGCCAGCCTGCAAAACTCTCAATCTTGAAGCCTGCCTGCGCATCTTGTCCCGCTGCTTGCCGTCGGGCGCCATCGCCTCGACAATTGAGTTTGGAGTGGAGTAAGTAAGGTGGGATATGGGGTGCATCATTTAGAAAAGAGGTCTTATGCACACCTTCCACACAGCATCCACTTTTCGCCCTGGGCGGGCAGACTCTGGGGTCGATCCACAGATCTCCTGAGCCGGACGGCTCACTTTCAGTTTCCGATGGCTTGTCCAATTGGGCCGTCGGGGCGACGTTGGTTTAAGGGTTTAGGGTTTAGGGTTTAGATCACTGCAATCTTGAGAAGGCGATGCTGGACCATGCGGGAAAGTCACAAGGGGCGCGAGCGTTTGGCATTCTGCAAGCTGCGAAACATTCGATTACCGGAGAAGCTTCTGCTGTTCGATCGATTTACTTAAAGGTCCCTCAGCCTGTCAAATCACAGTCCGCGTAGGTCGTCTGGTACGGTCGGTCTTCTTGTAAAACCCCACAATAAAACTTAAGGCCCTCTGCAGAGTCTGACGCTTTCTGGCGTCCGAGCCCTACATGATCTACATGCCACGATCCAAAGCTGCCATCCTACTCGTACCATCCTGAGTTTAGGGTTTAGGGTCCAGGGGCCCATCAACACTAAACCTTCAGCTTTGGGATTGAGGAAAGGGCAGCATACCGGTTTGAGGCTTTCGAGAACTGGGCTCAGGGTCAAGGGGTTTGGGCCCAGGGCTTGGTGAATACAGCCTAGCCCGGTACACTTCAGGTTGTGGAGTTTAGGGTTTAGGGGTTTTAGGATTACGAGTTCACACCGACCTGTCCTTGCTGCAGATCAAGCGACTGGCAACGCAAGCAGCAAACACAGCCGCCAATCCCAAAATCATGAAACAAGGTGAAACCTTGTGTAGCTAGGGGGGCTCCATGACAAATCTGTATAGAATCAGCAACAAAAAGCATAGAGGCTGAAAGGGACCCTTGCAAGAACTGGACCGGTGCCCAGGGTTCGGAGTCTTGGGGTGAGGGTCACTGAACAGTATGGGTGATACTGTAGCATAAATCCCTAAACCCTAAACTCTAAACCCTAAATATCAAAGGCTTCAAATGTAATTAATAGGGCTTGCGAAGCGAAGACCTTGCCCACCCAGCACTTGAGTAGAAGCTGCTCCACTGCCCCAGCAACAAATAAGTGTAACTGTATGTATGTGTGTGTGAGAGAAGACATGCAGATTATGTAAACATGTAAAGTATGCAGAGCATAGAAAGTATGTGAACTATGTATATAACGTGTGTCAGGTGTGTTAAGTATGTACAATATGTAGAGAACCTAACGATGCCATCGTGCAAGCATGTAAGCGCGTAAATATTCAACTGTGTATGTGCATACATAGGTATGTGCGTATGTATGGAGGTAGGTAGGTAGGTGGATAGGTTGCACCTTGGTATGTATGTACGCACATACATGTGCAGAAGCGCCGCCAATGCCCGAATTTGAGAGCACTAATTTACCTGAAGGCTTATTCAAATCAAATCTTGCCGCTGTAGCAACATGCAGGCACAGTTGCTTATCCATCCACGCGAGATTCCTGCACTCCAAATCCTGAATCACCTGCTGCTGCACGAGTCGGTGGAACGTGGAACCTATCAGCACGAAAACACTATCCGCCCGAAGAACACCCTGAGCTGGGCAGTCGCGCCACTGCCCGCCGTGCACGGTCCCGACGCTGCTGCCGGCTTTGTCGGCGACCTTGCTTGAGGCTAGACAATCCAGAGTCCGTTAGGGTGTCTAGGGAGGGTTCAGGGTTTCAGATATCGAGCTTAAGGCGGACGGTTCGGCTTTACGGACTGTATATTGGGTTTGTACTGTTTGCATGGGTGTAGGAATACTCGTCAGATGCTGAAGCTGTCCCGTTAGTTGTCGGTTTAAGGTTTGGCACCGAAAGAGCGGTGGGCTACGGTTTGTGGGGCTCGAGAGGAGTTGCGTTCGCTCTTACTACAACCTTGAGCACACGACTACCTCCGCCTATTGTAACGCCATGTAGTGCCCGTTGCAGAAGCGCCCTTTCCACATCAAGGGCTGAAGTTATCCGTAATTTAACCTAGCAAGGCTTCTGGTCAAGATCAACACACCCTTAGACATGGAAAGCCACGTAGACAAGCCCAGAGAAACATGGAGCCTAACTCCAAAACATGCTTGGAGCGATTGTGGAGTACCAAGCAGGGTGGTTGATTGGCGAAACAAGCCACACTTCCCTTGTCTTGCCGTCAGCACTTTGCGACATCGCCCCAGATAATCACATCTCCGTTTCCCAGGATTGCTGCAAAGGCATTGCCAGAAGCTTGGATCTCTCTGACATCCCTCAGCTGACATTGGACAGACTGGCTGGCACCACCGTGTGCGGAATGGCCCCAGGTAATCACAGATCCGTTGCCAAGGATCGCAGCAAATGCACCTGCTGAAGCCTGGATTCGCTGCACATCCTGCAATTGGTCTTGGACGTCCTGGCTGTTGCCACCGCAACCAGAATGGCCCCAAGTAACTACCGATCTATTTCGGCGGATCGCTGCGAAAGCGTAGCCCGAAGATTGGATACACACCACATCGTTGAGCTGAGGCTGGACTTTCCTACTGTCGCCACCGTGCCGAGAATGCCCCCAAGTCACAACAGACCCATTGCCAAGGACCGCGGCGAAAGCATAGCCCGAAGCCTGGATGTGCTTCACATCCTTCAGCTGATCCTGAATGGACCTGCTGTCGCCGCCATGCCCTGCATGACCCCACGTAACTACAGATCCGCTGCCAAGGATTGCAGCCCAAGCATACCGAGTCCTTTGGACCTTCTTCACATCCCTCAACTCAGCCCTGGCTGTGCTGCTGTCACCTCCACGAAACCGGTGGCCCCAGGTCACCAAGGCTCCATTGCAAAGGATTGCTGCGAACGCAGCGCCACCAGCCTGGATGCACCGCACCTCCTTCAATTGATCTTGGACGGAGCTGCTGTCGCCACCGCAATCAGCACGACCCCAGGTCACCACAGATCCATCCCCAAGAATCGCAGCAAATGCACCAAACGAAGCGCTGAGGTGCCGCACATCATCGAGCTGGTGCTGGACGCCCGAGCTGTCCCCACCGCAGGCACCATCTCCCCAAGTCACGACAACACCTAGGGGTTTCCGAAAAAACGACGGGTACATTTCAAGGAGCCTACTACTTAGGCTACTATATTGGGGCTCCTTTCTTCGGAAACCCCCACCTGTGTCGAGGATGGCTGCAAAAGCACGGCTGGAGGCTTGGATCTGCCTCACCTGCTTCAGCTGGAGCTGCACTGGACTGCTATCTCCACCGGTCTGCACATCGCCCCAGGTCACCACCTAGGATACCCAGTAACCTAAGAATAAAAAGGCCTCTCTTTTTGGTATTGGGTACCTTTATAAGGAACCTAGGACTACAAAAAGGGAATAAGGGTACTACTGGGCATCCTAGCCACAGATCCATTTCGGAGGAGGGCTGCAAAAGAGCCTGAAGAACCGTGTAGTTGCTGCACGTCCGACAGCTTATCTTGCACATTTTCGCTGTTGCCACCACACATAGCATGGCCCCATGTAGCTACCGATCCATCGCCCAGAATTGCAGCAAAGGCTGCTCCTCTTGTGCCTGTATCCTCGATCCAGCAACGTGACCAGCATGGCGACATTGACTTTAAGGCTGCAACCTGGACTTGCTTCACGTGGAGGGATAGCGCATCACCGTTCTGCAATCTTGCTCTCTTGATGGTAGACCCCGAATCCAAGACTTCCCCAGAAGAGTTGAGGAGCCTTCCTTTACCAACTCCCAGCGCGCCCCGCGCACGTTCGGTCAAAGCGGCAACCGACTCATCTGCCTCGACTTCCAGAGAAGTCGTCCTGCCACTAAGCAGATGGACATCGACGGAAATGGGCATAATATCGGGCCTTATAATAACTACCAACCAATATTTTTGGAGGATTCCTTATTATAATTATAGTATAATGGGCCTGGAAACCCTATTCTAATTATTAAGGCCCCTATATAAAACCTCGCGGACCGAATGGCCTAAGAAACCCTAAACCCTAAACCCTGAACCCTAACCCTAAAGCCTGAACCCTAAACCATAAAACCTGAAGCCTAAACCCTAAACTCTAAGAAATCCTATGACCGGTGCTATATACCGCCTGCGTCTGTTTCAACGCGGTCTAGCAATTTGTACCCTATGCTTAAAGGATTATGGGACTTATAGGGATCCTTAAAGGGTTCCTTTAAGGGAGCTACTTGTATAAGGGTTACTATAAGGATTCAACAAGGTTTTTTTTGGGTGGTACTTAAAGGATCATAAGACTTAGTAAGTAAGGCTAGAAGTACCCTAATTGGGGTTATAAGTAGTTGTAAGTATAGTTACCTTACTGATAACCCTAGTTACTAAGTCCCATGATCCTCTAAGTAAGCTTGTTGATGATCCTCCTCTTGCACGAAACGTGTATGATAAGCCTCTACTCAGCTGGACAAGCAAGGCTTCGGTTTGCAGATCTCGAAGCCCAAAAGCCAGACCGCCGAAAACGTGAGCAGATGATTAGGCCTGCAGACCCTGAAGGGTTTCCAGACCAACAAACTGCATACTACCTGGAGGGTCATACCCTACCCCTCTTTTGGGGTATCTAGTTGTGTAGAAAAGTAGGTACCTTAAAAAAGGGTTAGGGTATCAGCCTATAGGTACTGCTCGTAACTGTTAGAAGTCGAGAAGGGTCGCCAATTACACAACCCGAAACAAACAACGAAACACCTGAAGCCATGAAGTATTCCAGCCCACTTGGACCCTCGTATAGTACCCGAAGTAGTAGGATCCTTCTTATAAAGGACCCCAAAACACGGTACCCCTAATTTTCGAAGTAGTAGGATCCTTCTTATAAAGGACCCCAAAACACGGTACCCCCAATTTTCGGAAACTCCCACTTCCGGACATGTTGCAGGTTTAGGAACCCTGGGAGTCAAAGTGTTTGAGGCTTGAGAGGTTTGGGTCTCTACTGTAAGCGCCCCGGTAATCCCACCATGAAAGCTCTTCCCAGCTGTAGAATCTAGAAGCATGCACGCTTGAAGCTTGCAGCCTCCGTTGAAGCTGAAACACAAACACCGTAAACCCGCTGTTCAGACCAGCAGCGCTGCAACGTCAAGTCGGCCGAGCGCTGCGCCGCGAGGCCTCAAAATCACGGCTTAAGCATAGGGTTCAGGGTTGAGGGTGTAGGAGGTTGCAGGGTTCAGGGTTTAGGGTTCAGGGCATAGGATATACCCTAGAGACCCACACCTTCAACTGTAAACACTGTTATCCAACTACTGCCAGATTAGAGTTCGGGGCCCCCAACATGGGAGTTTCCGAAAATAGGGGTACCTTATTTGGGGGTCCTTATAATAAGGGTCCTACTATATTAGGGTCCCCTATTTTCGGAAACCGCCACATTGCAATGTATGGACTTTCAAAAGGAACTCCAGGGTTGAACGAGAAACTGTTTAGGGTTTACCCAGAGGCCCCAAAGTAGTTCCTTTTTGGGATGACCTTATAGGATTCTATATACGAACCCCAAAAAGGAACTACTTTGGGGCCTTTGGGTAGGGTGATCCCCCACCGGGTACAAACGAAAGGGCTGCTCTTTCATTCTTCAAGTCGTCCTGCAGGGTTTCTTGAGTTCAGGGCTTGAGGTCTGCGCTTGCTTTGAAGCTCAGAAAGCCAAAGTGATCCGCGACTTGAATCCCAGACCCTTTCCCCCTGTCCCTACTTGGGAGATTCAGTGTAGCCATAACCGACGAGTAGCTGCACTCCCCGACTAAATGTTTGTTTTAATTATATAGTTGGGGTTATAAAATGTAGGCGCTTAGCGCCGGGAACATGCAAGTACAACCAGACTTCAGAAGCCTCCACACCAACATCTCGAACCCTACAGCCTGAAACCCGAAGCCCCAGTGTCTTGGGCTTCGGGCTCTGGTTTCGGGACTCGACTCAAGCCTTACAAGCCATACAAGGCATGGGTAAACATACATGCACCACTGGGATATCAGGTAAACAGCTCTATCCAAAAATTCGATGGGGGAGCCGAAGCTTCATTTAAGTACCCTTGTCCCTAAACGAAGAGCTCACCAAGGTTGCGGCGATGGTGTTCCTGAGCCCAGGCTTCACAGTCCTCCCGGTGCAGGGCCCGGCTTAAAGTCTTGGCAATGTAGGGTTCACGGATTTAGCAACGACAGTCTTACAGCTCTAGTGTTTAAAGTTCTATCTTTTCGAGTCTTTTCGAGCCCGTCCTAAGAACTGGGGTGGCATGAAACGCAGGCGTTGACAATTCAGTTGCTTTGATCTGGAGCCGACCTAGATGTGAATGATGACATATTGGCCTGTAGGGTGGCGGGACATCATTTTGGGTTGTGAGGTTTAAAACGATTACTGGATCCAGGGGGTTTGGGAGGTTCCAGCATTTCGGGCTTGAGGATTCGAAAGGTACTACGAGACATATTATTACCTTGTATTGTACTGCGAACTAGCTGCAACAAGCCTTCAGTATGGTGAGCGGCATTCGGATCTCTAAACTATGAGCTCGTAGAACCACCTTTTTAAATTGTGCAAAGCCCCACGCCTTACCCCTTACTGTCAGTAGCTGAAGTCCTACATCTGCTAAAACCCTCAGTCATAGCACCCATAGAGTAATCGGCTGATGATATAAATCCTGCATTACCTTGATGACCCTAAACTATGGGAATTATGGTATGCTCCTTATTATGGGTCATGCAGGATTTATATCATCAACCGAATGCAGTCTAAGACCCCCTCTATGGCCCCTAATCAAACTCGCAAATCTAAGCCCGAAAACCTAAACTGCCCCAGCCGTAAACGGTGGCAAGAGTCCTCCAAGCCACTGGGCATCAGTTGCTGTACCTCAAGTGCAGGAGCTTCACAAATTTTGCAGGAATGTGTCGAGGGTATGGCCAGGTTTAGATTGCAACGCCCTCAAAACAGTGTATAGCTAGGGCTCTAGACCGACCAAAAGGAGTGCAATCGAAAATGCCGAATCGATCGCCGGTGGACGAGTGCAGGCTCCAAAACCACACAGATTTTCGACACCCTCGGCTCTAATCGTAGACAGACCTTACTGCAACTAGCGACGATGTATATATCCCGCGAACAAAACAGATCATTTGCTTAATGGGCAGCTCTGAAGGCAACCTGGGGATCGAAGGCAAAAGGTGGAGGAGTTCAGGGGTTTAGGGGCTTGGGGTTTAGGAAGTTTAGGGGTTTAGGGTTTAGGGTTTGTGGGGTTGTGGGGTTTAGGGGTTTAGGGTTTAGGAAGTTTAGGGGTTTAGGGGTTTAGGGTTTGGGGGTTTAGGGGTTTAGGGTTTAGGGTTTTGGAACGACCCCTCAGATGCTTCACATCCGTAGGCCGTCGCAAGCATGTGGGTTGACAAAGTTACACCTGGCCGCAAATGCATCCTATCATCACGATGTTGGAAAAACAAGCCCCAGCAAACTCAACCCCCAATTCCTAGAGCATCCACTATGCGCATCTCGCACTCTACACATAGACACATACCTGCATACCGTGATAACTATATCACTACTGATGAAACCATGCTGCTATTTAGCGTTCTATAGCTATATATAGGTATATAGCTATAGACCTATATTATCGGTATCCGTATACCTGGAACCTCCTGCGGCAGAAATTTTCGCCGCAATGCATTGCGGCGTTTATTTTTGCCTCATTTGCTTTTTTCTGCCGCAAGCGATTGGGAAACGCCGAAAGATTTTTCGATGAGAAGCCCAAAAAGAAGAAACGCCGCAGCAAAAGAAGAAACGCCGCAACTTATGCGTCTTCGTGCGCTTTTACCCAAAATTGTGGATGAGATTGTAGCAACTACCACACTTCGTCGTCGTCATCATCATCAGCAGCATCATCATCTTTGTTATCTTTGTCTTCATCAGTCTGCATTCCCATCAACTTCAAAATCTCACATTTGACAACATGAAAACTATGGTGATATCACGATCACAACTACTATGTGCATCTTCGTCTTTGTCTTCATCAGATTCACCAGCATCAACACCAATGACCAGTATCTTCCAAAAAACGTATCATCATCCTCACCCACATCGAAGGATCCAGAAGCTGTCGTGTCCAGCGGGCTTTTTGTAGGCGGGGAGTAGCACAGCAGAACGCTCGAAAGTTTAGCCACAAACTTCCAAAGTTTCAAGTACTAGTAGCAAAAACATACGAGGTCCGTTGCTGCTAGCAGCCCCAAACACAAGCCTAAAGGAAGACAAAAAGAACAAGCGGCCAATAGCCGCTCCTTCCCGGAGAATGGGTCCGCATATACTGCATCACGCTCTACTGACTCTACTGTTCGGTTCGAGTAGGTAGAAGCGGACATGTGTAATCTGCGGAAATTCCCGATATGCCTGCAGTATAACGAATCATAAAAAAAACATTATAATTTTCGATTTGACTGCGGCGGCTCTACGCGAAAAATATATCTTCTCTTATTGTGTTCAGCAAATGGGTGTGAATTGCGACCGCACGGTTTTCCCAGGCATGTATGTTTGATTTCGAAGCTGTTTCTGATTTTAACATGCGGAATTTCGGACGCCTTATAAAGGCCACGGCATGGGAGAGATTTGGCTTCTGTCTCACATGGCGCTACAAGCCGAGGTTAGCGTGTCTTATCGCGTAAATTTCGCAATATGTGGAAACTGAAAGGCATGTCATCTAAGGAGTCTAATCCAGTACCACAGTAGTGGATTTCAACACGGTCAACAAAGTTTCCTCAACAACCGGCGCAGTAGGACGTAATGCAGTTTATTGGTTCGACTCACTGTGGCTGGAGCACGCCTGAACGACGCGCGTGCCTGCAAGAACGACGTGGTCCGGACATACTGAAGCATAGAATCAAACCTGCCCTCAGAAAAGAACACGAGGGAAGGACGCAGCAGGACCTGAAACTGAAAAGCTTCATAAAATACAGAAGGAACAACGTTTAAACTGCGGCTTCTGCTTTCCTGGTGACGCATGCGCAGTGGCCGCAGTGGCCTGTATTTGGGGCACAATGCGGACGTCGCGAAAAATCTCTCTGTTTTCTTCAAGTTTCCAAACAAGGGGTTCGTTTACGTAGTTTCGGGTTGAAGTTTCCGTGTTTAAGGCTTCTGCAGTTTAGGATTGAAGCTGCCAAGGTTTAGGATGCTGGGCATGCCTGCGCATGAGAGTTGAGTACGAACTTGGCCCTTTATTTGTCAAGCATTTGGCGCGTACACTAGGAAATGCACGAAGTAGGAAGACTTGCGGTTATTGTCAACAAGTCTTGTCGTCTGAGCAGACATATTATCTACATCTGCACCTCGCAGTTCAATTTGCGACCACGACATGGCAAACCCACGACAGATGCTAGCACTGTGCTATACTTTCGGTGCCCAGCACAAGACTATCCCGATGCTGCATGATGCTGCATGGCTTTCAAATCCGGATGCATAGACGAAATTGCAACAAGAAGCTTCTGAAACCCATCGGCACACTTGTTACCGGAAGGGTGTCCGCATCTTTCCGCCGCAATGTCGGGAGTTTCCGCCGCAATGTCGGGAGTTTCCGCCGCAATTTTGGGGCACAAAAACCATCATAAATCGCATCCAAAAGTGTTTTGGAGTCACAATTCTCGCTCACCCAGTGTTCTGGCGACAACACTGGCCCAGAACGAACATGCTGTGCTCTCAGTTCCAACATCCTTCAGACTTGTTTTGGCAAAGGTCGTTCGGCGAAATGATGTGGGGGGGATGCAAGTCTCAACAGAGCTCCTCGTTGCATTTTCGCACGCTCGCACCAAAAACCTGTTGAGACTGAGAACAGACCGTGCTCGTCCTTGGCCAGTGCTGTTGCTAGTAGTAACGAGGAGTGAAGCTTGATTCCCGAACAAAGTCTAGATGTGTTCTTGCGGGTTTTGTGCATCCCGGAATTGCGGCGTAAAACCCCGTCATTGCGGCAGAAACTCCCGACATTGCGGCGGAAAGACGCGGGCACCCTTCCACTAACATGTACACAATTGACCCACCTGCACAAGCATTTTTTGCAATTTCGTCCACCCATCCGGGCTCGAGGGTGTGTTCATGATGCAACACCTGGATAGTCGAGTGCTGGGCATTGGAATTTTGTGCCAGGAGGCTAGCACGTCGCTGCTGATTAACTGGCTGGTTCATGACTGCATAAATGTGTTTCTGCATGTTGGCTTCCATGGAGTCGAGGAACCGCTTGCAACTCCAAGTTCCCTCATTAAAACCTGGTTTGAACTCCAAAAAAGAGATAAAAATTCAAACCAGCACAAGCTCCAAACCCAACCTGAAGCGGGAATCACGCCCCCAACCCTAAACTCCATCAGTTAAATCCTATACTAGAGAAACTCGAAAATACAGACTTTCTACCCGAAGCTGGTTATTAAGTGTGCCTCCGGAGGAAATGAAGTTGTTCGCAAAGAAGCACAACAATGTCCGTCCCAAATAACTGCCGCAAAGAAAATCCATCATGTCCCTCGGACCGGCTGTTGCTGCAGCTTTAGATAATTATTTCGTCTTTATCACGGTCTTTCTACTGGGGCAAGCGTTTAGCAATTAGGTCCTGCTGAGACCCGTACTTCCGCATCTTGTCTTAAAGCCAGATCTGGAGCTGCACGTTGGCATGTCTGTACTACGCCTGTTGTTGAAACCACAAGGTGAGCTCGAGCCACACTAGGTCTGCATTATCTGATGGGCGTGCAATTAAGCACCTTAGCCCGATATTAGGCTCATCCCTCATCGCCAGTTCTGCTTACCAAAAACGGCCCAGTTAAAGTTCTCTTGTTTTCAACTTTTGAAATTCTCGCATCACATAAATGTTGTTTCCACTTTTTTGCACTTCCGCAATCAACTCGGGGGTGTGGGCTTGGGCTGCACCGAAAGATTTGTAAAATTGACGCCATGCAAGACAGAAGCCAAATCCATCCCGGTCCTTAGACATCCTACATACTGAAACAACTTCGAAATCAACCACACCGTGCTTCGTAACACCCTATCGTTGCAACGAAGCACGAACAGCATCCACATGGTTTTCAACGAAAATCGTCGCAATGATATAAAGAACATAAACATGAGATAGCTGCACTCTTGCACCCGAAAGCAAGTTATAGGCGCAAGTTACAAACTTGGTGTTTCAGTCTGCTATGAACATACATCGGTTTATGCACTTTTTATGTCCTTATACAGTCTAAACCAACCGGCCAGCACCATGTCACTGCGGGAACGTTCGACCACAAGAACATGGAGCTGCGTGCTGGCAGCAAAACCAAAATTCGTTCGTGAAAAACAAAAACGCCGCCGAAATTACAATTCTGCCGCAACTGATGTGCTGTATACTGCTGGATTTAGGTTTCTGCCGTCAGACATGTCTTTCCGCCTCCGATTGCGTTTCGGCGCCGCAACCCTATTGCGGCGGAAATTTTTGCCGCAACGGAGTTTCCAGGTATCTACATCTGAACGCATATCTGTATAGTTGTAAACCTATGTGGGTACAGGTTCCAACACACTGCATACATAGCTGGGCATGGACGGAATGCAGTCCTAGGCGCGAGCAGGCTCTTTTCGTGGCGCCGTGCAAACGATAGAGCGGGACAGAGCAAAGACCTTGGCATCCGAAGTTTTAGGGTTCAGGGTTCAGGTTTTAGGCGCGTTTAGGTTTACTGTTTGGGGGTTCAGGGATTTCGACCTTCAGGGTTTTCGTGCGTTTAGGGCCTAGGATGTAGCCACCCAAAGTACGGCTTGATTGGCGCTTTGGGTTTGGGGAACTTTAAGGCCGGCGACCTTACCGCTTAGGCTTGAGGGTATGGGGCTAAGGTGTAGGATTCAGGGGTTGGGGGTTAACCTGTAGCCGAAAAGACTCTTTTAGGCGCCCTTACTGTGGAAACCAAAAAATAGGGAGTCCTAACATCCTTCAGTGACCAAACTCCCTCGTCCTCTGGAGACTTACATGTGAGCTCTGTAACCTTCGTCCCGGTTGCTGGTTGCGACTGTGAAGTCGGTACCGACTTGCCACGAGCCAGTGGTTGTGACTTCAGGAGTCGAAAACTTCGGAGTCAGAACCCTCGGTTCCAACTCCTGGCCTGGAGTTGTCGTTGTTGCGACCTGTACCTCTGAGCTTGATTTCTTTGATCGTGACTTTGGATGCACTGTTAGCACCAATCGCTGGTGATGCGCAGGTCTGAGGAACCAACTTCGTCCTTTTCCCTACTCCTGCATTGCCCTGTACATAGATTCTATCTATGGTTTCCATTGTAGCTCCTTTTTGGCAGGAAACTTTCTTGGATCTTAACTATAATCTAGCTGGTTAAACCAAAAAAAGGAATGAAGACTATAGGTATGGTCTCCATTAAATGGAACACCGTAGTTAACCACAGAGGGAAAGTGAGGGCTACCAGATGTAACCCCGAGACCAGGCTTCCCGCAACGTCTTGCCTGTCCCCGTGGGACTTTCCTTGGAAGAGTCGCACTTTGTTGAAAATTTGGGTTTCGGGTTTAGGGTCTAGGGCGTAGGGCTGGGAAGATTTTCCAGGGGACAGGGCCGGGTGTGAAGTAGTGAATTTTCGCGGCTAGATGTACATATTTCCCGTCGTGTCTGTAGCACTGTCCGACAGAAAAAACGACCACACCTGAGATTGTTAGTTGAGGGTGTCAGCTGCAGCCTTTCTTTGTGGAAGTGCTGCTGCTGATGGTGATGAAGCTGCTAATGCGGCGATGAAGATCGACACGCTGGACGTGATGATCGTGACAGTAAACTTGAAGCTCCATCTGTGCACACATCTGCGCATTTCAGATGACTCGCCATGCGTGCTTTGGCGTGTAAGCATGCGTCATGGTTTCCTTGCTGCACGGCGACAGAAGCACTGGCTCGGCTTTCGTGCTTACTGCATGGCCGACTTAAGTTACAAAGTAGCATACTGTTTGCCTTTCTGGGGTGATATTGAAGGTTGACGACCCGAGCCCTTATTCAGGGTCGCTTCGCTTGCGGGGTGCTGGCACAGAGGTGGAGACCGCAGGACCTTATTGAAGGTTTGGGCCTATCTTCGGCTTAGTAGTTCGGGCCTTTTCGGCTTTCCTTTACAGTAGAAACCCAAAAGTTGGAAACCTAATAGCCTCAATCCTTGAGAGAAATGTATAGGGAATCCCAGCACTATTTGGCCTTTATCCGGCCTCCAACTTTATGGGGTTTACTGTAGGTCGAATTGCATGCTGAGGGTTTCGGGTTCAGGGCTCGGCCATGTCAGGGTAGGGTTTGGCTACAAGGTTGCAATCGCCAGTGCAGGGGCGTGTTCCGTGGTAGCTTAACGCTTATATGGGTGAGCCCTAAGCCCTAAATCTCTCAACCCTAAACCCCTAAACCCTAGCCCCAAACAGTGTAGGACTTCATCTCAACTGACGCACATTTGAGCCAAAGCACCCTCGTCCCTAAACGTTTTGACCTTATATACATCCTAAGTTAGGGAGTGGGGTTTAGGGATTTGGGTTTTTGGGTGTTTAGGGTTCAGGGGTTCATCCTCAGTTTTGAAGCTTGGGGTTAGGGTTTACGGGTTTAATCCTAAGTTTCACGTCTAGGCCAATCAAGAGGCAGTAAACCTAAAGCTGCGAACATAAGATGCTAAAACCGTATGTGAGGGATTCGAAAATATGAGACTCGAGCAAGTTAATCCTCAAATTTTGGGTAAAGAAGTCGCACACAAAGTCGGCCACAACTCAAACACAGAAAAACTTAACTCTGAGTCCTCACATTCTGAATCACCGGTCGAACACACGAGAACCCTGACAGAAACCCTATTACCCTACGATGAACCCTGTCAAACAAGACAACAGAGCTCTCAGCAGAAGTGACAAATCCCTGAGCAGTCGGACTTCTTCTCCAACTGCTTTTCGCAACGGTGGTGTAGTCTGCGATATTCGGGTTTCCTTCGAAGTCCGTCCGGTTAACATTTCGTACAGACATGTCTTTTGATGTCTGGAGGACCGACAGATTTCCCGGTCGGTTCTCGCAGACGTCGAAAGCAGAGGAAAATCGTATTCCTAACGAAACGGGTAGGGTCGAGAGGGAAAGCTCTTTCACCAAAATGTCCCCGGACATGAACATGTTCGTGTCAATCGACATGCGAAGATCCTCGTGTGTCGATAAGTGTAAGCAAGAAAGACAAGGTTGTCATTCCGCACACCCATGTGCTACACTCGAAACAAAACCTGCAATATGACACAGCTGTGGCAAAACCTTTGACAAAGCCGAAAACCGAAATCCAAAACTCTCAACCAAATCCAAAACGTTTGACAACAATACCCTAGACCTAAATCCAAAACTCTTAAAAAGTGACAGGAGTCGAGGATGCCCATCGAGCCAGCTTCCAAGATCTCCATTACAGCCGCCATGAATTGTAGCTGAGAGGGGTATGGCCTCAGAATAGAATCAGATCAGAGGTATTCATGCAGAGTTCTTATCGGGAGTTCATTAGAGGGTTTAGTCGCTGGTTTGGGTGCGGCCTCAAGGTTTTTGGAGGATGTTATTGGAGAGTTGGGGGTTTCCGGGGTGGAGATATACAGGGCCTAGGGCTTGGGGTCCCGAAAAGTACGGCCTCAAATCAAAGCTTTTGCCCAGGTTTTTGCAGGGAAACCCTAAACCCTAAACCCTCAAACCTGAACCCCAAACCTTCAACTCTAAACCTCAAACCCTCAAACCTGAACCCAAAACGCGCCCTCAACTCTAAACCCCAAACCCTCAAGCCTGAACCCCAAACCTTCAACTCTAAACCGCAAAAACCCTCAAGCCTGAACCCAAAACCCTCAACTCTAAACCCCAAAAAAACCGTCAAGCCTGAACCCAAAATCCTGAACCCTAACCGCATACCCTCAACCCTCAAACCGCAAACCCTCAACCCTAAACCCTGAAACCTGAACAGGCTGGAAGGACCGCGGCCCAAGGGCCTGCCGGTTCGGGGCGGCGAAGGGTTTCCGAGGGTTTGGGAATTCGAACCCTTAACCCTACAGTAAAAGCCAGAAAGTTGGAATATGATTATCCTAAACCCTTCTATGGTAACTTATAAGGTATCCTACCCTAAAACCATATTCCAACTTTCTGGAGTTCCCTTTAGGTCCCGGGCGTGTGTGGGAAGCCGTACGCGTCTGGCTTCGCCTGCGGCAGTCAATCCCGAATCCCTCAACAACACGTGCATTTGTACTTGGATGTCGGGCCTGCTGCTGTTTCTACCAGGTTTTGCTCAGAGACAGTCGGCATCGGAGCAACCTTGCCTTCGGGGCTTTTGGGAAAGTTTCGCTCTTAGGGTTTAGAGAATGGGGCTCATTCAGGGGCCCCGCGCTGGTTGGGATGATCACGCCGCACCCGAATAGTTTATGTATGCCTGCAGATCTAGGACCAGTGCAGGGTCTGGTCATTCGGGCACCTGGGGCACTGCCGACATCACGACACCCTCGCGGTTTCTGACACCTGCGGCAAAACGAAGGCTCGGCTGAATCTTAGGCTACGGTAGGGTCATACAGACCTCAACATAAGATGAGAAAGGTACTCCCTGTAAGCCCCAAACCCACCCTGCGACTACATGCTAGGGCCCCAAACTTCGGGACCAAGCTTGGGATGCGGCGCAGGCTTTCTCCTCTGGTGGTGCCTCCATGGCTGAGATACCCTGCACTACTACTCCGCTACTTGCTTCGGTTTTAGACCCGGCTTGCGAGGATCGTCTTCCACATGGCTTCAAGTCTTTGCATCGGATACAGACGCCCTATTCTAATTATTGCGGAGCACGAATTCCGAAGCCCCCTCTCCTGACTCCTAAACGCCACATGCTGGAACTTACTTGTCGTGTCACACCATCATGGGCACTCTAAAGCCATGGCCTCGAACGGACGGGCGGCGACCGATCCTTCAAGTCTCTCTCGCTGCTGATGCTGCCAGCAGGGACAAGTCTAAGCAGTCGTTTGCTGGAGCATTACATCGACCCTTACATGCTATCAGTACATTTTGTAGGATGACTATAGGGTTGGGACCCAAAAAGCACGAAACGCAGGTCACCCAAAACATGTGTTGGCACTAATAAGACCCTCTACAGACCGGGGCTGTTCATGTGGTGGTGGTGGTGGTGGTGGTGGTGGTGGTGGTGGTGGTGGTGGTGGTGGTGGTGGTGGCGGAGCATTTCGAGCTCCTCCCGAACCCCCTTCGACACAACCCCCGCCACACCGGCCACTGCACAAAACACCACACGCCCCCGTGGAAAATCAGCCCCGTTGCGGAATCAAAAACCTTTGCTGGATCAGCAGTGCTCAACTCGTGCTTAAGCCTCTTCTTCATCTCCAAAGACCCAAACCCCCAAAGCCAAAGACCTGCCTAAGCTAACACCGAATCGCCGACACACCTCCAAACCTGAACCCAAAGCCCCTGTAAGCGTTATAACTGCAATGCAAAGCTCGAACCTGCAAAGCAAGCTCTGAAGCCCTGCGTCCTACAGTTCCAAGCCCGGCAGCACCCCCAAACCTTAAATCTAAAACCCTAAACTCTCAGGACTCAATGAGCCACAAGTCTACTACCCTCAACTCTGACACTACGAAACTATAAACACCTAAACCCTGCCTAAACCCTTCAGAGGCCTGAAAGCCCTTCGTTAAAACAAACCCCCAAACCGTCAGATCCGGCTGAACCCCTGAAGGTTCGCACTGAACCCAAAGCAACCTGCGTCCCAAAGTCCAGAGCCCTAAACCCTAAGAGTCCATGTACCCAGACAGTATATATTTTGACCCCAAAGCACCTATACAGGGGCTACTTTAAGGCCAAATGATCCACTGTGTGGGTACATGGACCCTTTAACCTTGAAACAACAAGAACCCTTGTAAAACCCTTAAAGAAACCTTTATGGAACCCCTGAATCAAGGCTTTCCCTTGCCATGCTCCCTCAAGGTGCGTGCTTCAAGGATTTCAACGTGCCGCCTCGATGGTTCAGATTCTGCAGGTGGCATCATGAGAGAGTCGCAATAATCATTGTTCATAGAGCATAGCAGCTCCGGACAGCGGCAACAAATAAGCATCAAAGGCATTGCAAAGGTAGAAATCAATCATACTGGGCAGTTGTCACGACAAGCATGACGACAAACATGGACACCAGTGCAATGGGAGTCCCTTTTTTGGAAAGGGCACGGCGGGAATGCCCTTATGTTTTCGAGCCTGGGTACCAGATGGATGATGCTTCTGGGTTGATGCGAAGGGAGAGGTTCATCCACTTTCTGCAGTATGGGCACTCGTTATTGTCCGCTGCTGTGCACAATGTGCCTCAGTTTGCACTGGTGTCTGAGTGTAGAAGTTGGACAGTGAATCGTAACTAGGCAGCCGCCTCACCTCAGGAGGGCATCTCCACGGCGGACATAATCGGCATCGAGGATTCGGAGTCTATGGAAACCGAGCAAGGGCAAAACCTCTGCCTTTTGATTGCATGTTGTTGGTTGGCAGTTTCCAATATTATGTCCGGGGGCTACCCGCTGGCTAGGCAGCACTTTGAACCTGAGGTCTGCAGATGTGCTCCAGAATATATCCTGGAGGTTTGCTGTATATTATGTGCCCCGGATGCATTTCACTCGGTTATACAATTAGCTCCCTCTCGCTTCCTGAATCCAGAATGAGCTTGAGGCTTTTCCGGCATAACTTTTGCAGCTATGAGACGAAGGACAAGGTGGCCGTGACTTGGCTGTTTTTGCAGCCAATGCCTTTGGTCCGTTGGGGATTGAGACAATTGAGGTCTTTGTGGGCAACTTGTTGCGGTTCGCGGAAATGATCGCTGTGCGGTGTGTGATTCATTTGCCGGTCGACGGCGCCAACATCTTTGAGCGGCACCCGGCTTTGCAGGACTTTTTAGATAGGGTTTTGATGGCTTCACCGTCGGTGATTTCAGAATGGAGTGACTTTCATTCGTTCTTGAAACAGGAGGCTGCTCAGCGCCTGGGCTTTGTGAAGTGCCTCTTCCCGATGTCCTCGTTCGGTTGCAAAACTCAGCAACTGGGACTCCGGGACAAGTGGTTGGTGAAGAGGTTTGTCAGTGTCTAAAATTTCAATTAAGTTCATTCATGAAAACCTAGGTCCCCGACGACTTTGTGGGGCACCGATAAGTTCCTCATCAAAGGTGTGAAGCACGTTTCTGCCAGGCTCATGACCATGCTGCTTGATTGGAATCTGTGTATGCGTCCTTGCACTGACGGTGTCCGGTTCTCATGCTTGGTGATGTGCCAGCTGGTCTCAGGTTCCCCGCTTTGTGCAATCGGCGAACGAAGGGTATGCCATCGACTATGGACCACTTCGGCTATCACACGGGCACGTTCACCTATTGTGCCACTTGCCTGCAATCTACAGTTGTCTGTGGCTTGGCTGGTCGGTGTGTGGTTTGGCGATTGAGGTATGCGATTTGGTGATGATACGACACCGCCGGAGTGTCCGGGACTTGATGGGCATGAATATCTCCGGGTGGCTGGAGGACTTGGCAAAAGATTTGCTGCTCCAGGCCAGTGCAGCCAAACACATTGTGGCATGCAAAATAGGGAGATGATAGTCTAAATGGAGATGCGATGATTTGTGCCGGGTCCAGGACCTTGACCACGGCTACATGCTGCTGCCCATGCACGGGAACCCTTATGGTAATCATGCTCGCCGGAACATTACTTTTGAGGCGACTTCTCTCTCTTCATGTTTTGTTCTCGTGCCTGGTAGATTCTAGATTCGTTGTCGATCCATGGGAAATCAGGAAGCCGACCTTTTCGTGACGCTGCCAGCGAATGCCGCTCCGCCGGCAGTGCCACGGCTTGTCATGTGCTCGTCTCCACATTTCGTTGGGATATGTGCTGCTCTTTTTGCTTTTTTGTTCTGGGCGGCTGGGGTTTTCGGGTCTGCTGAGTCCTCCCTCACTGTGGCGGATGCTGTGGGCCAGGACTGCCCTCTCTAAGCCTTTCGGCCAGAGATTCCAATCATCATTGCGCAGGAATGGGAGATTCTCGGGTGATGCTGGCGCCGATTCTTGCAGCACTTCGTCGCTGTTCGGGTTGCATGCTACGATTTCATAAGATTCCCGCACGGCAACATGGCAACCAAGGACGGCGATTTTGCATATGATGTGCATTGGCCGGCAATGCATATTGGGTTATGATGAGCCATGGTTGCACTCGTGTCAGGTCAAAACATAGAGGTTTCTTGATTAATCAGGATGTAATCGGCTGTCATTGTAGCTGACACACGAGAGTACTCAAACTTCGGTGTGGGCTGCTAGTTGGTTCATAAGTTCCAGGGTGACTACAATTAAAGTAGTTTACATATAGGGAGTATTTCACAAAACAATATATCTACGCAGCACGTGGTACACACACACACACACATACTCGATCAAACCGGCGAGCCATGTTGCTAGCATAAGCTTCAATTTCAATAAACTAATCAAGTAGTATACTGGACAATTAATGATTAATTGGTGGACAACAAACACTAAGATGTAAAGCCGAAGCCCGAAACCACCACTGCTTTCATTGTTCCCTGAAACTTAGCCCGAGGAGCTGATTATTTATATGGTGGCAAATATCCTGGCAGCCACCTGTGCCGTGGCTCTTCGAACGATTTTGGGATGCACCTTGCTTGCTTAATAAATGGATGGCTTTGATTGGACAACAATTCGGGTTTGCACCCAGGACACACTTATGTGGTTCGCTTTTCTCTTCTGTGCTGCAACGACCTGGGTCGAATTTTGGCCTCTGCTGATCTGAGATTGCCACCGGCAGCCCGGGAAAGCATCCTATGACTCGTAACCTCTGGCACTTATGTTGCAAGCTTTCTTTGGACGATTCGGGCCGCTGGGGGTGCAATTTAGGGCCGCAGTTTCTTGGGGAGTGTAATAATGTGTTCGGCTTACTAGTTATCAACACTGATCACTGATGCTTGTTACAGAAGACATGAAGAAGTCTGGGAGCCGAAGTGGGCTTTCGAGGACCTTGGGACCTTGGGCTCCACTTGTTCTTACTCTGGGGATTGGGCACGGTGCTATGTCGAGCTCTAGCCCGCATGTTGTAGTTTTTACCAATTAGTGTACTCGGCAGTGCTACCACCCATCCTTCTTGATTCATAATAACGAAGTATTCCTATATCTGAACTACTCAATTATTGTCTGCTACATGATTCATACTCATAATTTCAGAGAATAGTAAAGAAACCCTAGTCTAAAACCCCAAACCCTGAAACCCACTTAGACTAACATTGTTGTATGCCCTAAATTAATACTAAAACCCGAAGCCCTTGCCCTAAAACTCATATGACACCAAACTCTGCGAAACAGGACACTCTCCACCAAATCTTTGCCGGCCACCGGAGAAGCAGAGGATGTCGCCACAAGGAGCTTCATAATGAATGCAGCAAAGAGAAGCCTTGACCAGGCTTTCGAAGGCGGGAACCCATTGCATGTGTCGTGAATCATCATCCTATTCTGCTGGTGACTGGTGATGCATAGACAATAGCATGCAACCTGGTTGTGTCGCATCAGGTGTAGAGGGCGGGGACAAAGAAAAGGTAAAGTCAGCCAAGAAGGACGATAAGAAGGGAAAGAAAGCCAAGAAAGAAGCTGACAAGAAGAAGAAAAAGAAAGGCCCGGTCTCTTTACCTAGTTTCTTGTTAAGCAAAACCCATTTGCTAGTGCATCAACTTAGGCTCTTCTTCCGAGAAGGATGACAGCGACACTGAGTCCTTGGGCTCCCAGTCTTCGCAGGGCTTTTTTTCGGAGATCCAGGCGATGTTTTGCCTTCGTCAGAAGGACTTGGTCCGGCAGAACGGGCAGGACAGGTTGGATGACCTGACGACAAGGCAGATCGCCTTTGCGATCTCCGGGGCCGGAGCTGGCGCCTACTTGGCGGCAGCCGATCTCCAGGAGATCGGCGGTGAGCTTGAGCCTAGATTGCAAAAGTCCCCTTTGGTCACCAGCCCCTGTCTGCAACTCGTGATCCGTGTGAGGGGTGGGCTTGCCGTATTGGAACCATCTGGGTGTTCTGCTACCGGGTTTTTGCTTCGTCGCTTCTTCCGTGAATGCTTGGGCGATTGTTGTCCTTTCCCACCCGTCAAGCAACTTCATGACTTCCGCTTTTAAAGCAATACCCACAGCTCGCTGTCACTTCCATCGCTCGGTCGGTTGCCTTTCACAGAGAGAGATCTAAGGAAGCGGTCCACAGCGACAGGGCACAGCACGCGAAGAAGACCAAGCAAAGGATCGAGGAGAATCAGGCAACAGCACAGGCACGGAGGAGTGAAGAGAGCTCAGACTGAGTGTCCTGTAATCAACACAAACACAGTCACGCCAAGCTGCAACATGGAATCGTTTGCCCTTGATTCGGCCCCTGATACATCTCGCAGGCTGCCTTGGCTAGCACTTTGTGGCGGAAGCGACTCGCGAGTTTGTTGCAGCTATGTGCCTGCCTCGGCTACTAATAAAAATAAGCTTTACCAGTTAAGGTTTTCGGAGTTTCGGGGACTAGGGCTGTCGTTTCCTGTTCTTCGGAGTTTCTGACTGCATTAGTCTATAATAGTTAGTTCTGCAAAGCAAAAGCGGCAGCAGGTTCGCAGGCTGCTAGATAAGTAACACTATCATCCTTACCCCCTTCCAATCAAACCTTACTATGATCATTGCTATTATTAGTAGATCTAGAATCTTTAGTTAGAATTATGGAGGCCCCGGCCCCACCCCTGGAGAACAAACTGTTGGACCGTTACCCAGTACCTGAGCCCAACCCTAGGCAAGGTTCCCAGGATATGCAAAAGACCCTTGGGGGATGTCCTTGATGTTTGAGAATAATAGCCATCTGCTAGCAGCGGGTCTCGTGTGCCTTGACAAGGTCATCTCATTCTGCTCTAGCTAACTATTGTCAGGGGCCCTTAGTAATATAGTAACCGACAATTGTATACCTATCGAAGTTTGTCCGCATGGTTATGATGATAATCTTTAGCTCATCTTGCAAAGCTAAATTCTGCCTCTTTGAACACTGCCGGAAGTTTTGCCCGAACCTCGCCCTGAAGTCAATCCTCAAGACTCTACTTCCCACGAATACAACCAAGCCCTTGTTCCCCACAGCCCCAGAATCCTAAAACCGAAGCATCGAGCTCTAGACCAGACTTTCCAGCCTGCAACACCCTCGGACTTTCGACCCAGAGTCGGGATCTGTGATGCTCCAGTACACCATACCTTAGATTGGCTTGGGGTTCAATTAGGGGGTTTGACGTGGTTCGGGTATTGCTGGTGTTGTTGTATATAAGAGGCAGCTTTGTGGGACGAGTTCCAGGATGTTTTGCTCGGGATAAGATTTAGGGGGTGTCAGGGTTGAGTGTTAGGTTGACAAAAATAATAATAGTAATAATAGTAATAATACTACTACTACTAATAATAGTACTAATAATAATAGTAATAATACAAATAATAATACTAATAGTAATATTTATAATTAATACATATTGTATGTAATGAATTAAATCAGATCATAGTCACAGAGTGTCGGGCTACTAGGATCAATGCACTGCAGAAGCCGAGCAAACACATATCATCTTCCCATATCTTCCCTAAGCTACCAATCACTGGCCCAATCTTTGTTGGTTCAGGGCTAGGAGTCCTGAGGTTCGGTTAGTACGAGTTACAAACTTGGGGGATGGGGTTGGGATCGGGTTTGTAATAGGTTCCGAGGGTAGGTCCCGAAAAGCAGAGAGTACAACAGCAGTATTGGAAATTGGGCCCAACCAACAAAGACTAGCTCCAATAATTCTTCTGTAATTTGCATTGGCGACCTCCGGAGGCACGGGCCGCAGTCTCGCCGCTGTGACCATCGTGCAGTGTACGACCCTGGTGGATGTGTCGAAGATGCTTCGGGCGATGATTCGCCGGCAGTGCAGGCAGTATGTGGGTAGGTGTTTAGTCCTTGTGCTGCCACGGTTCAAGTAATCTGCTCGATCGCTCCAATAAATCATAGCGGGCTGGTACCAGAGAAAGCCCGAAACTTGACCACACCCACAACCAGCCTCAAAGCTACATGCCCTATGTGCCCTAGCCCCGAACACAATCCCTACTTTGCCTTGTGTGCAGGAAGAAGAATTGGAAAAAGCAAGACCTGGAAGCCACCCTGGAAGCCGAAGTGGAGAAGTACGGCAAGGCTGCTTCCTAGTAGTCTTTTTTAACATCACGGTACAAGCCTTGTGGCCAGGAAGCAACCAAAGATCTGCAGCTGAGCCTGAAGAGCTCTAAGAAGCCGAGCAAGACTAAGGACTTCTTCGTGCATAGGTTGACAGCGATTAAGGGCTTTTCGTTGGCTGCTTCTTATCCAAGGTACAGTAGATTCAATACATGCCTAGTTTCCCGATCTTGCTTGCAGGAGGAGACAACGCCAGCCCCCAAGAAAAAGGCTCCCAAAGCCACTGTGAAGGAGGAGGAGGAGGAGGACGAGGACCAAGAGGAGTCTGATGGTGAAAAAAATGAAGATGGCGAGGACGAAGATGGCGAGAAGTCGCCGGGCGACGGCTGGCCCAGTGCTTCGGGCGCCGACGACGACGATGATGATGATGATGATGTTCCCAAGAAAGTAACAAAGAAGGCGGAGCGGAAGGGGCATGATGATGGCGATTCCTCGGATGCTGACGCTGACTTGTTTGCGGGCAACTATACCCGCCAGGGCAACCAGAAGGATGCCAAGACACGGCCGGGTCCAGGCTCCGAGACCCTCTTCGAAAAGCTGAGCCCGCAGATTAAGAAGCAAGCCGAGGGCATCGAGCAGTGTGTGCTGAAGTCGTTGCCCCAAGACATCCCCCTGTAGCACAACTGATATAGTTCAATCTCACTTTGTTTGTTGGGTGTACTTAGAATGTTGCCTTACCGCCTGGTTCGATTGTCCAACTTAGGCAAGACTATTCCCTGATGGTGCAGATCTTGCTGAAGGAAGAAGTATACACTATGGAATCCCTCCGGGACTGCCTTGATCTGGATGGAGGCTAGTATAGAACTAGTAATATCTAAAACGCCCTAGCCCTAGAGATTCTGTCGTTGTTCCGGCAGGCGGCTTCATTGGGAATCTTGGGGAGTCCAAGAGCCTTTATTCTCGCCTCAGTGCCTTGGCCAAGAAGGCTGCGAAGATTTGGCAAGCCAAGCTTCTTGAATCTCAGGCCTGCCCAAGGGTTGGGTTGGATTTATTTAGAAGGGATTGCTTCGTTCGGTTTCGGGTACCTACCACATAAATAGAATCGGCTTTCTCCTTGATGGTTTGCTTTGCCAGGAGACCCCGTCTCGCCCGTCGAAGTGCCCTGAAAGCAGCACCTGAGCTTTCTTGATGTTCCCTCTCTGTGGAGAGGGTTTTCCGAGGGGCTTTTGCAAGAGGCCAGTCTAGCTGTGTCTCGTTGATTTTGGTGGTCTTGAAAGAGTCCAAGCTTCGGGGTCCATGAGGTCTGCAAAACGAGCGGTGCCGAAGAACCCTGCACTTCTTGTTGCTATCTTGAGACTGTTGAAATCGTTGCCTGCAGCCTGCTTCTCAACAACCTTGCTGTCCGAACCGCTGACATTTCGAAGCTGCTTTAGGGGATCCATGAGTAGAGCTCAGATGTGCAATACAAGGTTCGGGCAGTGTTTCTGCAATGGGTTCTTGCATAGACAGGAGTCTTTGGACCAGGTATGTGTTAGATATAACCATTAGTTGGGGTACAAACACGCCAGAGAGTCTGCAGTGGTTCAGTGACAAATAGACCGGAGCCTCGTGATCAGTAGCAAAAATACATAGGCCAGACCTTCTCCATTAGCTGAATGACAAATAGGCCAGAACTTATGCACTAGTGGAATGTTAAACTAGGCCAGAACTCCTCACTTGGTAAACATCTACTTCTTCATGTGCCAAAATATCAGAGCAACGGACCCCTGATTCTTTGGAGTACTTGGGTGGCAGCGAGCTACCAATTCCCTCGAATCCGAGACTTGGTTGCAGTGGCTCACTCATTTGTTTGTAAGGTCTGGTAGTCATTCCGGGAATTCTGGTTTGGTTTTGCTTGCTTTGTTTCCTCGGGGCCGGGGCTGTTTGTCTTCGCACTACTGGGCCGGGTGCCTGGGTGTTCGCTTTTAGCTGGGCTGCTGGGGCTCCGGGCCAGTTCCTTCATTTTTAGTAGCAAAGAGGGTTCCTCGGGGTTTTTCGGGGCCTTGAGCGTGCTGCCTCAGATGCTTACCGTGCCACCTCCTCCCGACAAACCCTCCTACGCACCGCCTCGTTCTCTAACGTGCCCGCTCAAACCCAACGTGTTGCATCAGCAGTTTTCCGCCCGCAACCTCGTACTACGTACCGAACGGAAAACGTCGAGGCGGAAGGCATAAATCTTAGAGGCCCGCAAAACTCCCTAGACGCGAATCCTTCGAAGCATCCCTGAAAAAAGTGCGTGCTCCCTCGATTCCCTCAGATGCGTTCTGCCTCGAATTGTCGGCCCCAACACCACCGAACCGGAAACCACTCAAACGTGACCCCCAATTCAGGCGGAACTTTGGGTAGACCGAGCCACGCCGCACGCCGTGCCCAGGAATGCCAGAGGCGAGATGGTTCACAGCCAGGCTGAATGACATCGCCCAGTGCCTTGGATGCGAGCACAATGAAGCCAACGTGCCACCTCAACCCTGAGCGTGCCGCCTCAAAACCCGACGTGCTGCCTCAGCTGTATTCTACTTAGAGAATTTAGATACTGTGCATCCTGTTATCCGAGGAGCAAGACCCAAGCGATTGCTGAAGAAGCAAGAGCGAATATGTATCGTAAAATGCAATTCATCGATCAATGCCTTCGGGATGGCCGGCCTGTGGGGGAAACGGGCCTGACACCCGCATCCTGGGAGGTTCTTTGTTTGCACACAATGTTGTATTATTAGCTGTTTCGCTTTCTCTGAATCAGTGAAAATACAGCCTGGCCCCCAGGATCTCCTTGATTCCTTCCGGGCTAGATGCTTGGAGATGAATGTGCCTTTACGACCGAGATTTTTCCCTGCCGCTGACCCGCCAGATGCTGCTTCAGAAGCAGCCGAGCCGGCCAGCTCTGTTAGTGAATGTAGCCCTGGAACCAGCTATTGCAAATTGGAGACACGATATCTTGATTGCCGGGCCGCCGTCAGGGGTGTGCTGCAGCTCCACAAGGCCTCGCTAGGATAATACTACGATCTAAGTAAGTTTACCGGACGGTCTAATTCTGCCAAGCTCCCCTGCAGATTGTGGAGACCGACCTCGAGGGGTACACCCTACTCTGGAGAGTGGAGGAGGCATGGCAAATTATGAAACGGCAAACGCCTTTTCATAATTGGTTCACCAAGGTGTACCTTGGATTATGGTGGCAGGGTTTTTTTGTCAATGCTACACATGTATCAAATGTGCCTAAGGCAAGACCTCCAGGGTGCCCAATTGGCCGCTGCATGGCGAGTGTCGCTGCCCGTGCATTTGATTAGAAGGCAAGACTATCGTGGCCGCAAGAAAGCTGTATTGGAAGACCGCATACGAATCAGCTTCGACGCCATGACCACACCCGGTTTTCTGTTTTCTGTGCTTTGGCAGCAACATTGACAGGAGCAAGATTACACGCACTCCACTTGTGATAGGTCCTGTTCCCTGTGTTTGTCCAATTGCAATGCCAAGGTGGCCTGTGGGCTGCAGGTCAGAGGCTGCAAGCCTCACTTGCAAAAGTCTGCGATGGCAGCACTGGAGGTGGTCACAGGGGCTTCCTTGCCAGCCGATTATGTGTTGGATCTTCTACCAGGCAACGACGAATGAGCCTAGGGCGAGATTAACCTCAAGCTTGCCACTTCAATGTTTCAAGATTCAGCAATTTGTGCACTGCCGTCATAGCTTAGGCTCGCTGGAAGTCAAAGACAAGCAGGTGGACCTTGCAAGCCTCAAGACTTTCCTGGACTTCGCTGGCCTGACTTCGAGGCTATTCCTAGAGCTACTTACTGATTAGTTTAATATAAATATTCTTACCTTGGTTCTCATTATCATTACTAGATACGAGATAAAAAATAATTAAACTACTAGACTAGTTTAGTCTAGTCTAATGATACCCCTCAATCTCAACCTTAATCCCTAAATCTGAAAGGTGGGAACGCAACCAGCTCCTGACACCTGCACAGCGACAACTCCACACAGGACTGTGTGCAGTGCAAAGTTCATACTCGACGGTTGAACACAGTGGTTGCAAAACCTTTGCAGGAGTCAAGATGTCTACCGTGGCATGGTTCATTTTCCGAGCACCTTTTCAGGAAACCTTCCAGGACGGCCCAACTGAACAGGGCTGTCTGTGCTGCCTTCAAACACCAGCCCCTGATTCTGATAGGACGAGATTCGGTATGGCCGGCTGCACAAGCGACTGATTCATCGGCTGGCACAGCTTGCCGAGAGCCACCTGAGCACGGTGCTTCAATCTGTTTTGCCAACGCCGCAAAGCGGAGATGTTCTGCACCCTGCCAAAAGGCCACTCGGAAACTAGCTTTGGGGTATGTCTAGCATTCTTTTCCCAAATACAAGTCGCAATGTGGTTCTGTCGAACTGATCCAGGGATGGGCGCCGAGCTCGTGGTGAGCCGAAGCTCCAGAACATGCTTGCAATCGAGCGATTCATGACTAAAGGCGGGGGTTTTGTCAGCTCCACCCAAGACAGCAGCCTGGAGTCCTTGGAGTTGGGTGGAATCCTCCCCTCGAACTACCACCGGACCTTCGTCACAATTCTGCATGATGAGTTACTGGTGCCTGTAGCTGTTGGGTTCTGAACCACCAACTGTGCACGTGCAAGGACAGCCTCGGATTTTGTCTACAGACATATTCGAAAAACTGGCGAGATGCTGTCCAAGGCGCCTTGCTGAATGCAGTTGCTTCAATAAATGCAGAGTCCGTCTTTTGTCCTCAGGAGATGGAAAAGCAGTCGCTTAAGAGCTTGGCTTTTCTGTGCGATGCATCACCGAAGGGATGTGTCGATGCATTTCGGCTGATCTAAGACCATGTGGCAGTCTGTTGGTAATTCTGAACACATGCACCACTGCACGCGAGGTTTGGCTCCCTGTCGTCTGTGCGAATGAGTTTGCATCTGTGGCAACTTTGCAGAAGCTGTCGGCTGTGCTGCCAAGCACCGTTCCTACTTCGGAGAAAATGAGAATCGCCCATCAAGTTGCCGACTCCACTACACAAATGCTGGTGGCAGACCGCCACAGCAAGGAGCACCGACCCAAAACGAGACTGGGCTAATATGAACTGTTATGTTGCTCAACTACTCTATGCTACTTACATGTGATGGTACAACCCATTCGCTGTCCACGACGGATTAGCATCTGGTCGCAATCTTGCCAAAAGGCCTAGAATCATCAGCGGCCTCCACCAAGAGAAGCTCACTGCCAGAGAGCACATCCGAGCTGTTGGCAATGTCCTCAATCACCTGGGGGTATCGCTGGATGACATTTTTCCCAAGAACCCGCTGAAGCCTCTGAACCCATCTTCTGAGATTTCGACGACTTACACAATGGGCGAGCAGACAATGCCTTTCATTACGTCTTTCGAAGACGGGATTTCGAGATGGGATATCCCAGATGCTGATTCCCCTCACATTCGACTGATCGTGTGCCCTGACGAGGGAAGTCCGATGTTCAGCAGCTATGTCTTCCTGGCCACCAGGAATGCTTCCATCAATCTGTGCCGCGATGAGCTGCTACTTGCTTGAAGGAATGCACAGCGGAGTGCTAAAGTACGGTACAACCCTTGTCCTGCAACAGCCGAGGCACAAATTGAGCCAGTACTGCCTGCGAGTTCTGGCATCGTCGCCCATGATGAAGCGATCCTCGGATGAGACTAGAGTTCTGGCTGCTTTTCAGGACATGTGTGGTAGCTCCTAGGGGCATCGTGTGTCTGAGGAGTGACGAAGCTCACTTCGTGGCTTTACAAATGCCGCAAGAGCCCGTGGAAAACGCACGGGATTGGCAACACTCTGTGTGCTGCTGGCAAGCGATATCTTGATGTGGCCACTTGGAAGCTCTGAGCCGCTACTTGTTCAATACTACTGATGGCTGCGAATCCCAAACTGCTCCGTGCTGCCCAGGCGGCTTCTGATGATGTTCTCCAGCAGCTCTTCGGCCACCACATCCTTGTTGAGAAGCTTGGCTAGAAGTTCACTCCCACTTGCTTCGCTGCCCTGTACCCAGATCAGGAACGGCATCAGCCCCGAGTGCGACGAGCAGGTCAATTTCGATCGGGTTTCGGAGATTCTTGGGAAGCTCTGCAGGACGGCTTTGTTAGATGCTTTCTCACCATCCATGATCAAGTGATCTCCAGGCTCCAGGACTAGTGAACCCAAAAAGTTCGCAAATCAAGGAACATAGACTAAACTGTCCTATCGTATGTATTCACGAAGTTATGTAGATGATCCAGAGAAAACCACCCCTTCAGGATCCATCAAGAGAGCTACGAGCACAAACGGTGGTGCAGCTGGGCTTTTGCCTCCGCGAGATGCCAGTTTTCAGGAACATTGTTGCTGATGTTCTGGGCTGGGATGGAGGCACAATGCTGGTGTACTGTAAAGACGGGCGGCCCTGCTAGTCTATGAATACTTAAGCATTTCATCTTGCTGTCAGACGGGCAACAACCCGTTTGCCGTGCTGGACAAAGTGGGCCAAGCCGACCCGGAGAATTCGTGGGACAAAGTGCTCGATTTGTGCATCAAGGCCCGAATGAATCAATCCCTGAGCCAGCCCCTAAATCAAGCCCTCAATCTGAATCCCGCAACAGGCTTTGTGTGATGAGCAGATCAACATCCTCTGGAAGTTCACCCGCGAGCTCATGCAACCCTTCCGTGACTTGTGCATCGAGCTTGTGCCTTGGCTCCATTAGTCAATGTGCTTACACTTTGCGAATGCGGCCCATCTAGAGTCTAGCATTGGAAGTCATTGTCCATTGCTGTTCTGAACTAAGCAAAAAAACAGCAAGAAGCTCCTGGCTCTCTATGACCATGTGCTGAAGATGAACTCGAAGTTCTTGGAACGAACCCTTAGCACCCTGGCTGCCAAAGTGCTTTGCTCAGCCGGGCTTCACCAGCCCCCGGACATTGCTGGAGCGACGCAAGACGAGGCAGGGCTGCGAGTAGACTGTGTGCTGAGGGGTTACAACTACTTACCCTAAGTTAGACTGAATAAGTTTCGTAAACAATAACCCACTAGCGCCTAGGGCAGAACCCTAATCCCGGAACCCGGTATTCTATAATCCGTCTCCAACTCCGAATTAGCACAGCAGACTGCAGGGTACCATCGAAATCAGATTTGAGGTGACAAACATATTGGGGTTTCATAAAGCGACCACCATGACATGAGGCCACTGGTAGCTGCAGATCCTGTCAGATGTGCTGGCTTGGGGATTGGGAGGCCCTCTCACTGGACTAAGACACAAGTACTTCGATCCCGGCAACCCACGCCCAGACCGCTTGGTCACGCACAGACACAGAGACAGGGCAACAGAGAGAGACGGAGAGAGACAGCGAGAGAGAGAGCGACAGAGAGAGAGAGAGAGGGAGAGAGACCCAGAGAAAGAAAGAGAACCAGAAAGACGGAAGGAGAGCGAGAGGGAAAGATAGGCAGGGATGGACAGAGAGAGGCAAAACACATCATAAATTATGGAGAATTACGAGAACAACCGAAAAATCGAAAGAGAAGGAGGGGGAAAGAGAAAGAGAGAAAGAGAGAGAGAGAGAGAGAGAGAGAGAGAGAGAGAGAGAGAGAGAGAGAGAGAAATAGAGAGGGAGAGAGCGGGAGCGAGAAGGGGGAGAGAAAGAGACAGAGAGAGAGGGGTGGAGGGAGCGAGAGAGAGAGAGAGAGAGAGAAATAGAGAGGGAGAACAAACCAGAGAGAGAGAGAGAGAGAGAGAGAGAGAGCGAGGGCGAGGGCGATGCGAATCTTAACGGTCGATTCTTTTTGGTCTTATTTGGTAGTGTGTGCAGCACTGAATAAAGAACCCAGTGTTTGACCACTAGATTGAACCCCCGAGAACAAAGAGCGAAAGACCGCATGGCACGTGTGCTCAACAGCCACCTAATGTTTTGTCAGTGTGTGTGCACTATATTCTTTACTGGGGGCGCTTTTCGCCGCGACACGGGTGCCAACAATAAGTACGCCTCCGGGTTTTGATGCAAGCAAAGTAGGAGCAGCAGCACCAACAGCAATCAACAAGTATCCGGCTTCGTTGCTTGATTCTGGTACAGGTCATGCAATTCGACTTTCGCCGTTCGTCTTTGGACTACGAGGTTCTGACGGAGCAGCTGAATGGATTTCTGAGCTGTTGCCACGAACTCCAGGAGTACGTGCTTTACCTTCGGAGTTTCCCATGTCGTGCAGCCGCTTTGTGCTCAGCGGAAGCAACATCGGAAATTCGGTGTGAAATCCTCAAGGATGCAAAGGAAGAGTACGAGATGATTCGGGAGATCGAGGCCACAGCCTCCGGGTCCAGTGTGCTGAAGCAGCATGCTCTGCACACCACGTTTCAGGTGTACCGGGAGATAATGGCAACCATGCAGCTGCACGACTTCAAGGATTGCAAGGCAATACAGGACATTGTGCAAGCATGGTACCCTCGCTGGGGCCAGTCTTCCAGTTTGGAACAGGTGTTTCGAGAGATGGAGCAAGCTACGAAGCGGGTAGGTCATGTGGGAAATTCGATGTCGAACCTCACATGTGTGGCTGTGCGGGCAATGGAAAGGAGGGTTTGCTGTGGCGAAGAGTGTCCTCAGACGCCGTCTTTGTGCGAAAAGGACTGGGAAGGTCAGGTGGTACGCAACCTCAAGGAGAAGATGTGGCATCCCACTTCAGCTCCTGCCTGCATCTTGAGTTCGGTTTAGCACGTTTTCATTCGGAGAAGATTCCTGCTGAGCACGGGGCTCGGGAAACACAACCACCAAGGCAAGAACGTGAAAATCGATGAGATCATAAAGCCTTTCACCACCATGACGGCCTACTCTCAGACGCACCACAACTTCAACTGTGTTCTGGGGTGGAAGGAGGCCAAAAGGCCAGGCTGAGGGTCGTACGTATCCGGTTGTTTTTGCACAGCATGTACCGAAACGAGTTTGTTTTCTCAAATCGTTTTTGACAGGACTGGCACGAGCCCCATCGATTCGATCAGCACTATGTGGGTGGCTGGATGCTTCGAGGCGGGAACACTTTTTCGGCAGGAGAACTCCTTCTTTCTTTGCACCGGCAAAAGCCCAGCAGTCGTGCACGCCACCAAACGATGTATTCATCAACACTTTTCCGGTGATGTTTATGTATTTTAAGTAGGTCCTCCAAATTTATTATGAAATTTTAGTTTGTACGCAGAGGGTATGCACAGTGTGCTTCAATCTCACATCTGAAAACACCCGTGGCCCGTGAATAAATTGGTGCATGTGCGGACTCATATTCACCGAAACTCGACAAAGACTCTGCTGAGGTTGTCCGTCTCAAAGAGGTTTCTTGGAAGTTTGCTGGCAAGCTGATGCCTGAGAAGCCGGACGAGAGACGGATGCCAAGGCAGATGAAAGAGTGCAAAGATCCCTTCCACGAGCAGACAGACTGCACGCATGCTCTTGTGATGGATAGTGGGCCGAGACACAACTGATCATTATGTCGTTTCTTGTCTGGAAGAGGGTTAGGGTTTTCAATTGTTGTGATAGACTATAATAAGAGCGGTCGTATATTCGATGTTATGCCTGCATTGCAAGGAACATGTTCCAGCACGTGCGGTGTGGACTTCGCGATGCTCCTGGGTCTAAAGCAGACAGAAGAGTGGGCTGAGAGATCAGCCTCGGGAGGGTTTAGGTCTACAAATAATGAGGTTCCTGTGCGGCTGTAATTATATCATAGGGGTGTATTATAAATTAGAAAATAATAGAGGTTGAGATCTTTGAGTACACAGTCCACGTGAGCCCGGCTTCGATGGAAAGCAAGTGTGGTGGGATTCTTCTTCGCAGAGGGCCCCAAGCATATTCGCTGCTGGTGCACCTTTTCATTTCAGGGAGCATCATGAACATTACTTCGGCTGCTTTGTCCGAAATCCTGATTGATTACGAATGCCGCATGCCGAAGAACAGCAGCAAGCATGCAAAGATCAGGAAGCTGATGACATTGGCCGATGTCAAAGAATCCCTGAGTGATGAGGGGGTGGCGCAAATGGAGGCGAAGCTGCAAGAGATCGAAAAGAATCGCTCAGCAAAAAAGAAGGAGAAAGAGCAGGAAACCGATGATGTCATGATGCATGAAACTGGGCTCAAGAGTAATTCTGTCTTTGTGACGGCATAGTTTAATCAGACCATCACCAAGCTCTATAATTTATGTTTTCTTTGTTTGAGGACCAAGAGGCCGAAGAGGAAGACCCTGCTGTGGCTGCTTGCGACCAGCTCCTCGCAGAGCTGGAGAAGGAGGAAGAGGACGAAGAAGAGATGGAGGAGGAGAAGGACGAAGCTGCTGATCCACGGCGGAGTTCAGTTCTGTAATCTTTAGGCGGCTTAGAAAGCTTGGATTTTGTAACTGTAGGTGTAGAATCGAAACCGCACGAATAAAATAGTAACAGGGTTGATGCTGTGTTTCTGTATAAGTGTGTGCAATTCTTTAGAGTCAACAGTGGTTCAAGATCAGGAGATGGAAGGGCCCGCGAGAGACGATCGTGCACGGGCTTCGAAAGCTTTGCTGAGCAAGACGAACACTGTTCCGCGATGGCTGCAAGACAAGTTCGCGATTCCTGAAGGGGGATGCATCCATCACACGCAGTTTCGGGACACTTCGCTTCCACTCTTTCAAGCGAAATTGTACAACGGCAAGATCTTTGAAGGGCAGAAACAAAGCTGCAGATTCAAAGCTTTGTGCTTTCGTGTTTAGTGCGAGGGTCTTTCCAATTTGATTCCGATAAATCATGGGCACAGCAGCTAAGGAACAGCATCAGTGCAAGTTACAACCCGACTTTGGACCGCGAGCAGCTGAATGAACGGATCACACTTGTGAAAACAATGCCAGCAAAGCAGCGAAGCATGGCCCAGGCTTTCTTTTTCACTTGGACTTGGCTTTGTCGTGCGCTAAAGCCAGAAGAGAAGAAGAAGCGGAAGCGATCGCAGGCATGAAGACAAGTGTGCACTGATCAAGCAACACTAAGAATAAATGATCATGCTTGCAGTGGCTTTTGCGGCTTCTCGAAGGGGGATCAAGGACACAGCTTGCGTGTGCGAAAAGGACCGATGACCGAAGAGCAGACAAGCGAGACAGCATGCAAACATCCTTGGAGAACGAAGCTTTAGCCGGCATGCGAAGGGTAACCCTTGACTGAAGGAGCCCCATAGGCCCCAAACCCCTGGAGCCCTAGAGCCCTATATATATATATATATACATATATATATATATATATATATATATGGGAATTTCCGAAAATTAGGGGGTACCTTATCTGGGGTCCTTATAATAAGGGTGCTACTATTGAGGGTACTATATCAGGGTCCCCTATTTTCGGAAACTCCCATAAAGGCACATGGAGAGAAGAATACAGGGCAGGTCCTCTGAGTCAGACCTGGCCCAACGCTTCAGGTCGCAAGCCTCCCGTGACGACCTCAAGGGGTTTAGAGGTTTAGAGCTTATATGGGGTTTAGAGTTTGGGGTTCAGCGTTTAGGGGTTTCGGGGTTTGGGGGTTTAGGGTTGAGGGTTTAGGGGTTGAAGTTTTATCGGTTTACGGTTTAGTACTCCTTTCTCATACACGATTGTAGTCCTTATCGTTCAAGTTATCTGTGGCCTTGAAGATGTTGCACTAGAGTTGCTACTTGTTATATGTGGTCTTTATGGGTGCTAGACGGTGCCTGTACGGCCACAGGCTGATATAAGGGTTCTACTAAGGGCTTCTATGCGCTTCGAGGGCACGAAATTAGCATGATGTGTCTGGCAAGGAATGCAATGCTTCAGTTTTGAACAGCAATCGCAGCTGTGCGTTGGTCATGTTCGAACTTGCCCTTCGCCAGCCTCGTCTCGAGCTCCCAGCTTAGTCACGTAATGTAGGGGCATCCCACGAAATTATTTACCTTTAGGAATGGGGTACAATTATAACTACTATTACTACCATTCTTCCATTCCCTACTAACCAAAGGTAAGCTTAAATGTGTGGAGAACCTGCAAGACCGGGAGCAGATTTGCAAGGAAGGGTTCGGCTGGCGCAAGGGTTTGCGATCGCAACGATTTGCCGGAAGGGGGCAGGCAGCGCAGGCAGCCGGGACAAAGCCGTGCATTATCGTCTGAATGACTTTAAACCTACTCCAAACTATGGGAATCTTCTCGGTGGCCGATGCAGGATTGTGCATCGCAAGAAGCCTATGAATTGGCAAGCCCCATGCTGCCACGTCAGTGGGTCATCTGGGGATAGCAGGACACATGACGTATGGGGTTTGTGGCTTTGGGCTTTTGGTGTTTAGGCGTTTCAGATTTACACTTGTTGGGGAATTCGGTCTTAGTTATGGGTTGGGGGATTCAGGCACTCTGAAATGAAGTCGCTAGTATCCCGTAAAGCAAGCTCCAGAAGAGTCCCGGAAGCGTTGATACAACCTACCACAGTGCGACTTCCTACGAACAACACGACCAAAGTTCAAATCTAACCCGCAAAGTCCATCAAAGCCACCCAAACCTTGAAAACGTCCAACATAGTCTAAAAGAGATGTTCTGACATGACATTGGCAGACAGTTATCCATCTCTTGTGCTATGCTCTTCAACGTGTCTGCAGAAGCACCTGACTCTGATTCCTTACCTTACTGTAGTCTAAGCCTTGAGCTGTCAAACTGGGAGCAGCACATTGATGCCGGTGGCACGGGCCATCAGCTGCAGCCGGCAAGGCCCCATCTGAGAACAACTGCTTCTGATGGGTTTTAGGGTTTAGGGTTTAGGGTTTAGGGTTTAGGGTTCCCCCTACCTTCTGATGAGGATGGAACGTCTCGTGGGCGTAGGCTCGTGTTTCATCCGGTGGAACAGGTCTAAAAGAAAGTTGACAGACGCATTTGTACTGGAGACTTAGTGAATTCTAACACCGACCCCTCAACATAAAACAAAAGGGCCGAATCGAAGCGAATGGGCCCGGGTGTAGCACTTGTGGGATTTACTCTTCTTTGCAGGCTCTGAAAGATCGAACTACTACAGGGGCCTTAATGGTTAGAATAGGGTTTGGGGCCCATTATACTATAATTACAAAAAGGATCCCGCAAAATAGTTTTGGTAATGATTAAGGCCCCTAGAGTGGCTTTATCCCGTACGAGCAAATGCAAAAGTGCTGACGCCTCATCAGCACAAATACAAACCTGCATGAGGCCTCTACGATGCCCTGATTACAAACCCGAGAGAACCCTGTATGAACCCTATGCAATCTTCTCATGCCCCAACTAGATGGCAAATGCGAGGCAGTCTGCTTGTTTCGAGCAGGGTTTTCGGGGATAGTATCGCTAAATATTCAGATGCTAAATTAAGGCCTAACCCTCTGATAAAGCCTTAACCACGTTATGACTCTGTTAAAAACCCTGACAACACCCGCTTAAAACCTTATAAAAACTGATAGAACCTTATATGAGCCTTATATTATACTCATATACGAGTCTTATACTTGTACCAACCCTATAAGAAACCACGGCTTCTGAGCTTGGCACCGGGGATTCGGTGAGCTGACGAGCGATATGCCGCAGGCGGTGCGGGCTTGCCTCTACGGTTTAGGATTTAAAGGGTGAAGGTTCAGGGCTGACACGGTTTGAAGATGTACAGGGTTAAATCCTGAAGCCTGAACCCCTAAACTGCTGTGCAGGGTTAAGGATAAAACTTTAGAGCAACTTTGCGGTCTAAACTTATATCATATGATGTCCCCATAGCCTGCAACATGTTAGTGTAAGCGTTCATGTTTCCGGGTTAAGGCAACGACTGGTTGAGAGTTTCGCGTGTCTAAACGGTTCAGGCACTTGCACGCCGGGGTTTCCACGCCGGACCTTGATTCAAGTTCTTCTACAATCCTTCTCCAGGGACCGGTGGTTTGTTCACTTGGGTCCTATGCTACACCTACACATCCCCGCTGCCTTAAAACCGGGCTTTGCATGTGCGTAGATTGGTACCATGCGCAGACCGAAGTTGCGTCATGGTCAGGATTTAGTGTGCTGTAAAGGGTGTCTGGGAAGTATGGGATTTGTCAACGAAGTCTTGGAAGCTTTGTCGTGCTTCAGGCTTTTAAACTCTCAGTGCAGTTCTACGCGGTGCCGGACGACCAACCAACGGCAACGAGTAAAGCTCAAGCTTGGCCTAACGAAACTGCACGAAACCTCTCCTCTACAAGAAACTCTGAACTTATAAAGCCCAAACCGCAGGCCTCCAAGGACCTTATAGTTAGGGCCTTAGACCCCTTAAGGACCCAATATTAAGGTCCCTGGAAGCCTAGGGCAAATACTTCTCCTGCCCATTGCATGAGAATCCTCAGGGCTGCGTGCTCTCAGCGTGTCGGAACAAGGGCTTCAGCTGCACTTTGAGCCTCAACCCTAAACCTCATAGGGATCCTTAGGGGTGTAGGGGGAGGGGTGCAGGGGACTATATTTCCTTAAATAGGCCTTATGAGTCCTTATTATGGGCCTTAAGGCCCCCTACCCCCCCTCCCCCTACACCTCTAAGGATCCCTATGAAAACCCTAAAGTGCGCCTGGCCACCGCCTGCCGAGAGCGGTCCCTGCGAAGATCGTGGGAGTTGGGGTTGGGGTCTGGTGGATGACCGTATAAACCCCTAAATCCGAAAAACCCCGAAGCCTAAATCCAAAATCCCAGACACACCCTGAACCTCCTTCTAGGGTAACGACAGGGTGAGGTGGACCCCTGACTTTTCTGCCATCCATGGTCGGAACCAGAGAAGATAACCTTACTAACACGCGGCATAAACACAAAGCCTAAACCCATACCATACCTTAACCCCAAAAACCTACCCTTTTAAGGACGTATACAAAGGAATCATATTCGGGAACCCTAAAAAGGCAGTCCAGGTAGAGCCATGAATCCTAGACCCGACGTGAGAGATGTGGCCTCTGAGTCGAAAACTACACAGGCAGTCACAAAATGCCAAACCGAGCACAGTAACTCTACGGCTTGGAGCTTAAGCGTACATTCTAACCCCGAAACCGTAAACCCACCAAAGCCAAAACAACAGATATCTATACTTCGTACATCAAAGGGCTGCAGAACTCCAGCACATCGGCGAGATTGCGGGACTCCGAGCTGTTGCAGCTCGGAGATTTGCCACTCCCGCATTTTGAGCTGATCCCTTTGCAGCTTTTGCTGCTGCTGGTCCTGCGCTCTCTGCTGTTGCAGCTCGGCGATCCAGCCCCGTAACAAGTTTTTTCACTGCAGCGACATAGGCAGGGCCCCTTAGCTGATGCATCTCCACACCCATGTTCGAACCTCACTCCACTTGCAGCTTGTCCCCATGTATGAATAGTCGCACCACGGCATCACCTG